CTAATGAACCCCAATTCTGCCTAAATTAGGCGGGGCATGGCAAGGAAAAGACGGGGTGTTTCCGAGATATCCAGCAACCTTTTCCAAACGATCAATTCCACGTCAATTGACTCATCAAGATGCCTCATTTGCGATCAACCCTCTTGTTCGAGCCAACGCCGTCCTGCTAGCCTTGAGGCAGCAGCCTGTAGGACTGCATCATTGAATAAGCGGGGCGAATGATGAACAGTATGGTACATATGCAGTGAGCGACGTCCGTTGATACTTCCGTTCATGGATTGAGGGGGCTGTGGTTCATTGTTAGTGAGAGAAGCAGTGAAGCTTTCGAAATATCTGGAGTCTGTGGGTGCCTTGGCCAGTGTCGTGCTTCAAGCAAGGGGGTCCATCCTGAGCTTCTTTTCTGGGTCTGGGCAAATCATCCAAAACATCGGCTAGGGTCACAAGTTGAGTCGGAAGATAAAGACTGACGATAACGAGATTGACCCAGGCCGGCTCGCTGTCATCCTCGACTTGAAAGACACGAGACATTCTGCTCAAGGAGCCTTTTCACACAGCCGCCGGCCCGCCTCGTCTATGCGGAGTCGGCGAGTCGGCGAGTCGGCGATGGCACGCAAGACCCTTAACCCCCCCGGCTCGATCCCCATCGCGAAATCAAAGCCCCCGGCGCTTTGACATCGGGCTTTGACATCATTCCGTCTTTTCAATCCGTGTAGATCCAGTAAAAAGGCCGAGTTCCACCTGTTGATTAACTCGATTCCACGTTGTTTACAGGACAGGCCGACTTCGATGCCGATCTTTGCACCCACATACGGAGCGCGACTCTTTTGGACGCTGGGGCGCCGGCGCATTTTCCACAAGACAAACTTCAAAAGTCCGCACCCTTGCTGTGAAATCGAATTCAGGGTAGCTCTGCACTGTTCACCTGCTCGCCCCACGCCTCGCTACCAAGATCCAACGTCCTTCCACGAAACATTTGCGCCCAATATGGCACCCTGAAGTTTGGTTCAGACAGAACTGCCGCGCGCGGTCCTTCGCGACCGGAAAACCACCAGCAGCGAGAAAAGTCGCGCAAAGTCGGCGTGCGAGAGTCATGGCCGGTGGATGAGTAAGGACGGGATTCAAGAAGCACTTCGGGTTTTCGAAATCGCCGAGCGGCGGATAAGCTGGCTGCAGTCGGTTTCCGCCAAGACTCTGAAGAGGGACTGCCCGGTCGCAAGCATAGACGCATCCATCGTGTCGGTTCCCCCGTGGGACGAACTCTGTCTGCACTCTATTTTTCGGTTCATCCGACACGAAAAAAGTCTGGCGCAATGAATCGTTTGGTAGGAATCGGAATGGCACCAGACGCCTGATCCAGACGGCTGGATATTTATTGAAAATCGAAATCCATCGGAAGTTAACACACGAAGCTTATCTCCGGGCCGCTGGTCGCCCGCGCGGAGTTGACTACTTGTTGCAATGGGCTCTATCCACAAAAATGCTGCGTGCCGAAAAGTGTTGGTGGCTTGGTGCAGGATCCGATGGACCGATCATAAGTTCCTGCAGAGCGGCTGAGCGAGTTCTGCAGAGGCTGCAGAGGCTCCAGCCGCCCACTTCTACCGCAGTACTACTGCATGAGAGGTCCCGTTGAGAAAAGCGTCGGGCGTCTCAGAGTTTACGTGAGTTCAGGTTTGCAGTCCCAAGCTGCGACCTTGTTGACACTTAAATCACCTCAAGGCGTATCAGTGTCACCAAGAAACCACGTGCGGGCGGCTTAATGCTGACGCAACAATATAGTGGTCACTATTTTAATATGTAGGACGGCAGGTATGGTTGCAGTATTGGCCAAACTGCGAGTCAGGCTGCGAATTCGGCTACCCTTCCGGATTAGCACCAATACCTTGTGTTTCCTCCACAGGAATAGGCGACTGGCCAGGGCCAGGGGTTCGTTTCGGGAAGATGGGGAATCGGCTCCCAAAAAGGCTCCCGCGTCGAGAGCGAGTCATCTTCCCGTGCAATAGGATGCCATCTTGGAACCCATATGGCCCATATCGGATGACAAGCAGCAGCAAGCAGGAAATCCCGCCAACACCGCGGCCGTCAACCCCACAAGGGGGCTGCGATGCCCCCTGGTGGGCCGTTTCGAGATGGCCGTCGGGTGATACATCAAAAACGTGGCGGTCCCCGTCTGAGTGAGCAGAGGAAAGCTCGGCCCCTCCGTTCTGGTTCTTGCTGCTCGTCATGCTATTTTGGATTCCATCGATGACGGTGCTGCGCGAGAGGCAGTCGTGATGGTGTTCCAACTCCCGACGGCCGTCCTGCCAGACGCCGCCGGGGTCATCTTCTATTCTTTTGTTTGTCTAATTGCCAACATCCTGTTGGTGTGGCTGACCTGGATTCACAATGACAGGACAAGCTGTATGTACAAACGCCCTTCATCTTCGTCCGATACGAGGCCGCCATCGAGGCCACCATCGAGGCCGAGCGTGTAGACCAATGAGACTAATATCAGACGATCACAGACATCGCCTGTATTTCGTATGCCACTTTAGTCGTCACCACGACCAGCATTGCACAACAATTCTACGACTACGCGTTATGGAGAGACATCCTGACGGATCAGTTCTACTACGCTAGGCAACATGCCGACAATTCAGAAGTTCAGTACTTCAAGGGGTCTCGGGGTGTCAAACTCATCTTGAGCTACGTCCGTATGTTTACTTGGAGACGGGAAGAACCTAGCAGGGTCTGACAGACTTTTACAGGAATATTCGGCTTCACTCTCGAATCGACTTTTGTTTTCTTTTTGTAGGTCAATTCACCATGCATGATGGGATAGACTAAATGTCTAATTCCGAGTAGCGCTTTGTCATTGGCGGCCAGTGTTTACGGGTGGTTTGCGACGACCCCGAGGACAACACGAACGATCTCGATCATTGGCAGAGTCTTGCCCTTCATGCTTACAGCGATTACCGTCGGTTTGATGCACTCGCCGGTGGCACAAAATTCATTTCTGGTGTACATGATTGTTGCGAACACGCAATGTAAGCGAGATCTCACAATCCCCTTTGCAAGACAAGACATCTGGACTAACTTGCAACGTAGTCGTGCTTAGCCTCTTGGGTAGCGCCGTCTTACTACTCATGATCTTGTTTAAATACGTCCACTCCCGCCGAAACCTTCAGACATGGAACGTCCTCTATGGAAATGCCGGTTCTTTGGAGAGCAGCGCAAATGGCAGCAAGTCACGGTCTGTTTGGCTAGGCAGCAATACGAGCCGAAGTGGTGGAGGAAGAAGTCGGGCTTACAGCGGCGCTGGCGCCAACAACACGTACGACAGCTGGCTCGTGATCCGGCTTTCCATTGCATTTTGCGTTCTTTGGTAGGCTTTTGATACCCAAACCATTTTAAGCCAGACGACTAATCTCAAATGCAGCGTCTTCGAATACACAAACGTTATCCCGAAAATCGCAGCCTCGAACCACACAATCGATCTCGCCGACGACTTGCAGCCCGATCTAAGCGACAAGCGAGGACGTTCGAGCGTCCGAGGATATGTATCTGGTGTTACGCCGAGTCTCGTCGCGTTTCTGGTTTTTGGAACTACGAAGACATTCCAACGAAAGATGTATGAAACATTCGTCCCGAGGAGTCTCCAGAAGCGGAGGAGAGCGAAGAAGAATCTGTCGATATCAGTCGGCAACTCGAGACAATCACCGCACGTACAACCCACCAAGCGACCGAGCCAGGCAGTGGACCAATTCACTCTCAGCGATCTCACACCAAAATTCCCCATGGGAAACTACAGTCCCCAATACTCTAGTGACGGAAACCTGAGCCCGAGACAACCACACGGAATGCAGTCAAATCCCGGTTCAAGAGCCGGGTCGCCACGATATGCGCCCAGTTCACGATACGTGCCTAGCTATGCACCAACTACATCAACGTTCGCTTCTACTCCGGGATTCCCTCAGCCCAGTCCGGCGGGCCTTTCGGCACCTCCACCACCGCGGCCACCTCGACCGATGACAGGGTTGACGGGGATCAGTGTTATCAGCCCAAGTCTGCACTCGAAATTCTCGAACTTCAGTCGGCCACATACAATGATGACGACGAATAAGGAACTGCCAAAAACTCCGATTGAGGAGGAGAGCTTTCCTGAGAGATTCCGTTACGCGTAGCCGAGACGCGCAGGTTTCATGCTGGAGGGGAAATAAGGGAGGTGTATACTACAATGTAATAGATTACATAGGTAATGACTTCAGTTCAATGACATATTTTCATGAACGTTGCTGCATCCCCTTGATCAAAATTGCGGACTTTCCTCGCTCATTGAGTGTGTCTTTAATCCAAGTTGCGAAGGTTGCGTCGTACCACTCACATCCTGCGACAGGCCTCTCCTTGCAACTTAATGGCATGAGAGACTAGCCGAGAGATCCATATGGCCAATTCTATCACATCTCACATTCTAGAAGCCTTCCTGTCTGGATAGAAGATTGGGTGTGATCGACGTTTCAACCGCGGTTGTCATGCATCAACACATATGATCCTTACCCGAGATCCTCGCATAACCCTAGTGAGCGGAACAAGAATGGGAGTCGACTAGGTGCGATACATACAAGAGAACAATCGTTACACACGCGGCCCATGACGGATGTCTTTTGTCCGTGGAAAAAAAGACTGAATTTGAGCGTCATGAGCAAGTGCCCCTTTGAAGCTGAACCAGTGTGGCTGCTGAATTAATCAGCTCAAGATGAATACGAAGAGACCGCCAAACTGCTGTAGTAGCCTTCTCTATCCAAGAGAATACTTCTAGAATTATATACGCACAATTATAGCCGATCCCCAGAACGCCATGGGTATTCGGGTATCGGCACAACGATCCTTCCGGGGTCCTCCATTCCCCTCTCCGTGACTGTTCTCTCTTCAAGCATTTGTGAAGTCTCTTTTTTCCACATAGGTTTTGTTCCCAATCAATCGTTCATTGACAAAAGAGCGCACTGCCTCGTAATAACCCGGCGTCATGTCCCCATACTCGAGGCAGTCAGAGCCACACGGGACAGGCACCGCACGTTGTCCTTCAAGTGACCCAAGAGCTGAAGCCATATTCATACAGGCCGGGGGAAGACCAGTTACGCGGATATGGTTCTCGTTGATAGGCCCATTGACGTTGATCGGCGTGTTCGAGACCTGGACTTGGTCGAAACAAGCATCCCAGGCATACTGAGAAGTTCCTGCGGGAGCGCTGCCAGATCCGTCTTCTTCTTTTCGCTTCCTGATCTCTGCTTCAATCTCCATGACCATCCGGCGGGCGTGTAGGAAGGCAACATCGGCTCGTCGGCCCTTGCCGCCCGCCTTGAGTCCTCCCTTGATGATCCCGGCGACTTTCGTGCCTGCAACAGTTGCGATGCCGATGAGAGCCGGTGGGGCGGGGGTGCCTTGGAGGAAGACAATTGCGGTGAGAATGACACCGGCAAAAATTGCGTTGGTCTGCATTTTGCTGATCAGGAGAGAGCGAAAGTCCAGGCTTGGTCGAGGAGGAGTTGACGGTGACGATGGCCCATGTGGGATAGATGAGAGCCAAGATTATTGAGATTTGTAGCATCTTTATACAGCCGACGTTGGCTATCCATGATTCGATGCTGGCGATGATAGAGGCATGATCAAGCCGTTTTCGTCGAGAACACACAGAGGCACCTATTCAAAAAAACCATTTGGTACCGTCCGACGGGCTTCCTTGACGATTAGGAGCCAGGGTAAAGGAATCAAAAGAGCAATGAGGACCGTGCGATGATTTCTCTGAGATAGTTTAAATGCTTGTTTGCTCCCATGAATGGAAATGAATCAATCTGAGGCTGTATATCACCGTGGCAAGCCGTGCTCCCAAACCGGACTGTCAAATTTGAATGAGTCTTCTGCTTGATTTACCTGGAGCCCTCGTGTAGTAAAATCCAAAGGCAACTTGCCAATTGAGCAATTTGTACTTGATATACTCCACCACGTTCGTTCATAAATCGTGTTTACTAATTCTTCATGCGAATTGCTCCTATTATCAAGTACCAACTGAATCACCTTCTCCATCCCGTCCGCGTTACGCTTCTTATTCTAGGGTCCGTTCGAGGTCAACATGCCATCGCGCCGCGTCCCTTCCGTTTTGCGCCTTCTTGAGCGCAGCTTCATGGCCTGGAAGGCCTTGAGTCTGGCTACCAACTGCGCCTACCCAGCAATGGTAGTCCTCTCAGAGTCGATGGAGCCTACCTTCTCCCGAGGAGACATCATCTTGCTTGCCAACTGGCAAGAAGTCGAGGTCGGCGACATCCCGGTGATTTGGTTTCAGGGACAGCCCCTCCCTATGGTGCATCGAGCCGTTGAGATCCTGTTTGAGTAAGTTTGGACAACCAAGATTCTTTCTCCGGTAGTCCCTTTATGCGTTGGAAGACATGCTCTTTTTCTGAATCAAGGGTCTTGAAACACAATGGTCTGACGAGCTCTGTAGTGTTCACCAGGAGCGGTTGATCTTGACAAAGGGCGACAACAACGAAGTCAACGATGTGGTACTATATCCCTTTGGCCAGACACACGTACGCCAAGACCAGGTGGTTGGGCTCGTGCGAGGTTACATCCCATTCGTGGGCGTGTTGACAATCACTGCTCAGGGGCTATTATCACGCTTAAGCTCCCCTCTAAGTCTATTTTCGAAGATGCCTCGTTTGTCTTGATGCTTTCAGCGGAAGCAGGTCTTGGTGCTACGCTTCTAATCAGTCGTTCGACTGAGCCAACGGGCTGATGGCGCATCCTCTGAAGAGCACAGACGATAGTATGGAGGTAGACTTTTCCCAGTGTCTAAAAGAGAGCGGCCTACTAGCTATTTTATATCACGAGATCGTTTGACAATCTTACTTGTTTGGTTGTAATGAACAGATTTGGTGTTAGCTATGGCGTTGTCGGCCGGTTTATCTAACGATACCCTCAGACCGCCACTGCTTTTCGCAACCTCTGCAACTTTAACGACAGTGGCCCTACACTTCCCGACTCATACACACAAGTTATTCTTTTTTCCGGCATGGCTACTTGCAGCATGGTCGTTACTCTCTGTTGATGAGGACAACGCATCATCATTGATTGGTCTAGGCTCTTACACGGTCATCACAAGCTTCATATTCATGCTCATACTTCCCAACATCCTCCTCGGACAGAGTCGCTCAGTGCTATGCGACAAGCCAAAGACACGAAGGAGGGTATACTGGCCTCAGTCACAGACCATCTCAGCGGCATGCTGGATTTGGAACAACCCTCGTCATCTGACCTTTCGCCTTAACACCACGGCGACATGGTCTTCTCGCGCTCTTTTCATCATTCGGCGAGCATTGAAGGTCGGCCTGCTTCTCGTCGCCAACAGCTTTGTGAATAAAGCCCACATATACCTCAAAGCCGACCTCTTAGACTTTACTCCGGATAAATATCCAATCATCCGCCCCATCATCTCACAAATAGTCTTCGATTGCAGCCGTGATGACTGCACATACAGCCCGGTATCACAACGCCAAATCTTCCTACGTATCTTTACGGTCTTCTCCTGGATATGGTCCAATTTCCTCATCCTCGAATCATACCATGCCATCCTCTCCACAACTTTCGTCCTCCTCGGCATCGACAACCCGGCAGACTGGCCACCTCTCTTCGGCAGTATAACCGACGCCTGGACCGTCCAACGTTTCTGGGGCCGCTTCTGGCACCGGATCGCGGCGCCCACGCTCACAACATGGACACACACCATTCTGCGGATCAAGGACGAGTCGCAGACCACGTTCGAAAAAGCGGCCGTCGCATTTGGCGTGTTCTTCCTCTCTGGGATCATGCATATGACGGCTGCCTGGAGAACCGATGAAGGATACGTGCACTTGGATGTAATGTTCTTTTGTGCCAATTTCTTTGCGATCGCGGTTGAGATCGTGGTGTCCCGCGCGTGGATGCAGGTGGTCAGACGAGCGAAGCTGAAGCCTGGGGCGGAAGCACGGGTGTGCCTGGCTAGTCAATGGCTTGGCTACTTGTGGACCTTTGCGTGGTTCTTTTGGATGGCACCGAGGTGGTTGTATCCTAAGACGCTGCGGTGGTTGATCAAGCAGGCACTGACACAGACTCATACGCAGTTGTGAGGATCTGCGGGCTAGCCTTAGAACGGTAGTCATGTTTTAAAGATTTCAGGTGGCATTTGTGCTCAAAGTATATGGAACAGACGTGGGGTTTGTCAGAAATGCAACTATTTAACGGAACAGTTCGCCTCACTATTACGGTTTTCCATGCTGCGCCAGGCAACAACCGCAAGGCAATGTGCACTTTGCTGTTTCAATAAGACAAATCTAGCCAATCCGGGCCTCTGTATTGGCTATGAACCAGTATGAACTACTATTGTGTACGTGCATGGAAACTCGTATCTTGGGAACCGAGACTTTGAATCATCTACTATCCGTGAACCGAATGGTTCTGATGGTTTTTGTTGGGTTTGAGTGGTTGCTTCGGTGGCATAAATCTCGCCTCAAATTCGCCATGACGCCATCTTATAAGTGCAACATTGAACTCATCAAATTCGTCAGCCTAATGGATGTGTAGTCTACGGTCAAGTATAAAACACCTCTGACACGGTGCACCACTCATCGCAATGCCAGATGTGTCGCACCCCATACCACTCATCACCCTAACTGGTTTTCATCGGTCAACAAGGCACGATGACGAAACATGCCAAATCAAGCAAAGTCTCCAAGGAACTGAAGCAGAGCAATCCATGGAGTGATTGGATATGGTCCGAGGACCACGGGCGATACTATTGTTACCGGACCCGTAGCAACGGAGGTGAGCGCACCCACCTTGCCCAACTTCCGACCAGCGGTGTGAACTGACATTTTTTGAGAAATCGAATACGAATGGGACGAAGGAGAACCCACTGAAGAGCGTGCAGTCAAGCCGGCCATTGAGCACGATAGTCCCGGTGACCGCACACCTACTCCCGCGCGGAGCGGTCCCATCGTAAGATCGGAGATCACTTACACGGACAACGAAGGGAATGTCATCAAGATCGTCCACAGATATCCTCCGGATGATGTTGTGAAGGATGATGTCCCTGTTGACGGCGATGATCGGGCTATTGTGCCGGTTAAGGCTAGGAACACTGGTATCGGGGACGATTTTGTGGATTCGTTCTGGGGAGAGGTGACGGAGGTTCGAAGAGATAGCGGGCGCCCTGTAAAAGAATGAGATGCAACGAAGGATGGGTCAGATGGCAATCACGATTCACATAGCAAGCTGGCAGTATTGTGAGAAAACATCATATATCTCATTGGAGCCCAGAATCCACAAGGAATGGATTACTCTGCGCACTACATTACTATCTCCCATGACCGCATCATGAGAGAATGGGTATCAAGCTTCCTATCGAATCACATTATTCGTCACTCCGACCGCATTATTTAAACGCTCTCATGCTGAGTCTCGTGAAGACCCTTCTTCTCGGCGTGGATAGCGTTCTCCTCCAGCTCTTCGGTGAGGCCGACATCGCGTCTCGCCTGCTCGAGCATGATACTGTCCTCAGCGCCAGTGTTGCTGCCGAACACGCGGTCCATCTCCTCCAGGGTGGCACCCTTGGTCTCGGGCAGGCAGAAGTGCACCCAGAGAATGCCGCAGAACAGGAAGACGGCAAAGAAGAGGTAGGTTCCCCACTCCCAGGCCTCGAGCATCGAGGGCACGTAGAAGGCGACGGCGAAGTTGTTGAGCCAGTTGCTTGAAGCACCGATAGACGCTCCCTTGGCACGGATAGACAGCGGGAAGATCTCGGAGACGAGGGTCCAACTGACAGGTCCCCATCCAGCACCGAATCCAGCGATCTACAGGACTGTTAGCAACGATGTTTGGGATAGTTACGTGATGGTGGGGTGCTTACGTAGAGCCAGATGAAGGCGACGGCGACCCAACCTTCAATGGGGTGGCCAGGCCAGTCGTGGCTGAACTTGGCCACAATGATAGCAGGGATGATCATAGAAATCAACATGACAATTGAGCTGACGATCAAGATGGGCTTGCGGCCGACCTTGTCAATAATGGCCATGGCAGGCAATGTGGAGACGAAGAAGACGACGCCGGTAACACCGGTGGCAAGGAGGGCAGTGGTGCCGCCAGTGAGACCCAGGCTCTGGAAGACGTTGGAGGCATAGTAAATAATGGCATCAATACCAGACCTGCGGAATCGTTAGCATTCAAAGAAGCTTGACTAGCGCTGCTTGACATACCATTGCTGCCAGAACATGACCAGCCAGGCGGTCGCGACACGCTTGAAGTGGGACCACGAGCGAAGAATCTGCCAGTACTGGGCAACCTCGCGCATCCAAACGCTGGTCTTCTCCTTTTCGGCCAGCTGAGGGAACGCCTTCTGGAACGAACGCTGCTCGAAGAGGGCCTCAGCCTTAATCTCCTTGAACTCGACCTGGACGAGCTCGCTCTCAACATCGAGCTTGCGGAGGTAGGCAATGGTCTTGACAGCCTCCTCGTCACGGCCCTGCTTGACGAGCCAACGAGGGGAGAAGGGAAGCCACCAAATGCCGAGGGCCAAAAGGGCGGCGGGAATACCCTGGATGTAGGAGGGCAGCTTCCAGGCAAGGTCAGACTGGTCGATGCCGGTACCGCCAATGTAGTTGCTGCCGTATCCAATCCAGAAAGACAACATGATACCGAGAATGGTGGCGAATTGGTAGAAAGAGACGATGAATCCACGCATCTCAGGAGCGGCGAGTTCGGCGTTGTAGAGAGGACTGCGACAGGTTAGTCTGGGTGCGCCAGAACCGAACACATAAAGCGAGAACTTACCCAACACCGGAGAAGGTTCCGACGCCGAGACCAGTGAAGAATCGGCCGGCGTAGAGGAGCTCGGGCTTGTGGTAGCTTGCGCCAGTGTACAGGTAGCTACCGAGGACAACCCAAAGACAGGCGGAGAACATAGTGTACTTGCGAGAGAAGACCTCGCCGAAAACACCAGCACTGACGGAGCCCAGGATACCTCCAAGCTGGAGAATGGAGGTCAACCAACCGGTGGCGCTGGAGGAACCGACGACGGACGGGAAGTTGTCCTTGAAACGCGTCATGACGAGCGATTGGCCGAGCACACCTTGTTGGTATCCATATTCGAAGCCACCAAAGCTGTTTCCCCAGAGTTAGCTGGGTCACGGGCACACGGAAAGAAGCATTGTGGCGTTGTGACACCGAATGATCTTCTGGAAGATGGAAGAGACTTACGATGCGAACAGCGCGATGACGACAATCTTGGGGTTGGAGGCAATGGTCTTCCATCTGTTCTGGTAAGCCAGCTTCGTGCGCGCCTCAGCGGCGGACGTCGCTTCGACAGCCATCGTAGTGACAGGGCAATGGCCGAGATGTGCGTCGACGATCGAGAGAAGGCGATTGAAGGCTCTCGCGCTTGTGCTGGTGAAACAAGCAATCGCTAGAGACGAGCCGAGTAGACACGATGATCATGGTGAAAAGCATGGGATGACATCGGTACTTATTGTTACGGCGATTGACGCTAAGGACTGCCTTCCTGGGCGGGTTGACCAGGGAGACATCCTCTCGTGATGGGGCCGTTTTTGCCTGATCGGGATTGGATGTGTCAGGTTTTGATGCGACTCTGTTTTGAGGGCTCTGCAAACTCGAACGAGATGGGTCCCATGCTCTTGGTTCGTGGGCTACTTTTCGTATTATTGTTGCGCGGTCCTGCTAGCTTTTTCGGTCCTACTGGAGCTAGTTGGACCAGACCGCCATCATCTTGCATGCTCCAGACTCACCCGCGTATATGGGGATTTCATTGTGATGGAATGGTGTGCAGCGTGTTCCTGAATCTGGGGTTGATTAGGTCAGCCTGGAGGGAGGATCTGACATGCTTGGGTGCTTGTGTTGACCATTTTCGGCCGTCGGCGTTTACCAACAAGCGATGAAACTGCTCTCGTGAACGCTGATCGGCCAAGTTTGGCAGTCTTTGGCATTCGCCCAGAGAATACCGAGAGGCGGAGCGTTGCACAAACGACCGCCAGCATCTCCAACCCCCTCAGAATCCTTCGGCACCTCCAACACGGGGAAGAGTGCGGTGTGTACTTGAGTGGCGGCGCTTCTCCGTGATCCCCCGTGGACGTCTCCGTACCCCGCTCACCCGCAAAGCAGCACTGGAGCGTCGAAGGGTCTGGTCGTTTGCGAGGTCGGGAAAAAGAGCCCGGAGCTATCGACCGATGCGGAAGTTGGCCGAACTGTGGATCAAAACAGAAATTGTAACCACCCCACCAAACATGAGAGACGAACCCGTTCGTGACTAATCGAACCTTTGAGTGTGCCCATGGGGATCTGACCATGGGGGACTTTTTGGCTTCTGGGGATCCCGCTGGCCCAGATTCACCTCAGTAGAGTTATGAGGGGGAAATCCACTCCTGCAACCCCCAAACGCGGGCAATCGGCCCTTTTGGCAGACAGCAGATCGGCGGTCGTCAATGTCGAGGGTCATCGAGGTCAAGCTCGGTCGTAAACATGGCCGCCACGTTATTTCCATATTGAGGATGAGAGAACCTCCCACGATCCAGGATGTTCGTCGCTGGACCAGAAAAAGTTAAATTGAGCCGCACCCTTGGCGATGAGTCCAGGACACGCGCTATTACTCAAGCGCCCACCGCTCGATGCTTCCAGACGCGCAATTATGGTTGTCGATTCCGAGATGCTGGATTACAGGAGTCATGGAATCCCTGAGGTCTGGTGTTCGTTGACTAAAAGTCCCACTCAACCGTACGCTCGACCTTGTTTGCTCGGGACAGTCTTTCACCGGTCCCTGTCATTCAAGAAAATTTCTGCACCATCAGTCTGCCAGAAAGAAAGCGGTCGGCTGCCAGTCCCCGGTCGGCAGGGCCCGGCCGAGAAACCGAGCCTTTTGTCAAGGCCGTCATCAACCGTTCTCGACCGACGACGCGGTGTTCTCTCCGGCTGTTTTATGTCCCAGTAAACTTTGACGCTAGTTTGTTATCGGTTTGGCGACATGATTTCGATGTCCTCGAGACCGCATCGATGCAGACAAAGCCCATTTTCTTGCCTACCAAATCCTTCAAGTGATGGACTTGTACCTGGAACTCGTTTCGCATGAAATCATCCACTCTTCGAGGCGGGGGGCTCGCGGCACGCCGCCCACTTGCGGACGAAGTCGGAGCTGCTGCACAACGACCCACGAAGTCGGTTTCCGAGATGTCGCATCCACGTACACCAGCAACGACGAGATTGATTGAGGCGATCTTGGCGGAGTTGCTCATGGGTCTGATTCATGCCAGCCGATCGTCGGGTCGGATGCGGACCTATGTTTGGTCTCGTGCCGATAGCTTCTTGCAGCTGCCGGCTTGATCGTACGAATGTTTAAGCCCTCGCCCAAGATATCCCTTGTAATCGTGCTAGACCAGAAGTTTACCTCATGAGCTGGTCCTCCGCGCGGGCGTCGGCAGTCATGAGCGATGGCTGCCACCTGCAACGAGAGTAGCATGAAGAGCCACGACTTGCGTCACGAAGGTCTCACGCTATGTGACTGAATCTCGAATCCAGCACGTCTCGGCTCATCGAATGCTTGCTTTCGGTACTCGGTTGACCAAATGGACATTTTCAGCGCACTTATTCAACGCCACTAGCCCCCAGATCCACAGATCCAAAGCTCACATCGCGATGACACTTGCTCATCATGGAGATGCCGAAGGCTTGCGTAAAACAGAGAGCTAGAGCTGGATTGTAAAGCCCTGGCTCTTTCAACAAACATGGACGGCAGCTTCAAGGTGCACTTTGACTCTCGAGCAAGCGTCGAGAACTGGCCGACGGAGTACACTGGTACATCTGCTGGTCTGAGATAAACGCAAAGTCTTGGTGAGGTTTCCTCGTTGCCTTTCAAAAAGATGAAATGTCGTTCTTTCCACCGGATCACTGTGGATCGCGACGGTCGCAGAAGCCATGGAGATGAACCAGATCGCCGGGTGGGAGCTGGGCCTCATGCAGTCGACTCATCCAGCCAATGATGGGCAATCGCTAGCCATACTATCTGCTCGAACTTTTGTTCTGCATGCACGATCTCGTCGAGAGACCCGCCTGACACGATGTCGGTAGATGTCGGTGGGTGATAGCCCGGAGTCCTTGGCGAAGTGACTGGAAATTGCCGGACTCGCGACAAGAGGCTCACCCATGTGCTGCTTGTGGCTCCCCGCAGCGTCGTCCCTCGACTTGGGGCTTCCCCGGATGTCCCCGGGAGGCTGGGGTAAAACGTGGGGATGTAACGATGCATGCGATGACAACATGTTTCCAGCGGGAGCGACCGCAGACTGCATGACTGAATCGTCTGCTGCAGGGTAATTGCCGATCAATTGGTCTTTGGCGGCAACTCTTCGGGCTGAGACGTTCAGTTGTGGCGGAGGACGTGCGGCTGAAGTTGGGTGGCATTGAGGCTCGCCCGGCTCAACCCAGCATGGTAGGTACAGAGTATTGAAAGCTGCGTCCGGGCATCGTCGAAACTAAAGTGAAGATAGCTTTCCTGAAACTCTCTTCTCGTTTTGCAAGATGCTGCGTAGCGATAGCACCCAGCATAGCCCCAGGTAGGCCTAAGACTCCGTTCGGGTCTCCAGCAAATACGGTCCAAGGTCCAAGGTACTCGCAATTGCGGCCTAGAACGAGGTTAGTCCATATCAAGAAGATCGCTTCTCCTACTCACATTGCGGGCCTCAAGATGGCTCGAACATACCTACTTAGACGTCGAGTTTCGGCTTCATCGGCGGGCCTGAGCGTGTCTGAGGGCAGATGCGGCAAGACTGGAATAACATCAATTCATTCATTCGAGGCTGTCAATCAATGTTGAGGATGCCGCTGTTGCAAGGAATTCGATATCAGCTTCGCACATGAGAAGCTGGTGGAATGATGCGATGAGGTTGACGCTGAGGAAGATGCTAGGAAAGAATAAGACGAAGCTGATTGGACAATGCCAGATAAGATCCGATAAGACAATGCCGCCTATTGGAATACACCTGATAAGCAGCTGCAAATCTACATGAAACGGGGCGCTTACGTCACGTCTCGGATTATGCTAGTACCGGAATGTGCCCCGCGCTCCTGCCCCACCATTGCGTCTAGGGGACGTTGGAGCTTGTCACAGAGAAAGCGGTGTTTGTTCCAGCAGCTCTTTTTCGAGACGCGAAGCTGCAAAATTGTTCTTCTCTTCTTCAAGCCACTGTTGTTTTTGCTGCAAGATACCACCTCACCACCCCAAGATGCCCAGTACTGCCTCCCGCCGACGAGATCCCCCGGGACCAAGCTAACTCGCGCCCGCAGCCCCGTACTCGACCGGCGACAAGACGTCCTTCGGCTGGGTCACCGCCCGCGAGCGTTGGCCTGTCATTATTGTTTGTGCTGCCCATCTTGAGAAGAGACTGTGGCTTTTGCTGACCGCTTTGATGCAGACCCAGGCCATTGACGATCTCTACCGCTCCGTCGCAGCGACCGATGCCAAGGAGAAGCAGGAGGAGGGCAAGAAGATCGTCGAGCAGATCGCCCGCCTCAAGTACGAGGTCCAGCACGACCGCGCCCTTACGTACGAGCCATACCGGTAGCCCCTAGGCTGCGCATATGCTGACCTTCGCAGGCCAATTGAGGACGACGGATACCCTGATGTCGCCATCTACAACGAGGACCTGAAGAAGCTCGGCGAGCCAACTTGGCTTAACGTTCCCTGGCTCTACTGCGAGTGCTATCTGTTCAGGTAAGTTCTCCGTTGGCAAAGTAGTGCCCAACAACCTCGGATTATGTGCTAAGAGTGCGAAACACAGACGCATCAGCACCTACTTTGCCAAGTCCACTCACTGGAAGAGCTACGATGTCTTCGCCCGCCAGAAGATCAGCACCTTCCGCTCGTCTCGCCCCGCGGTCGTCGAGCTTGCCTCCAAGTACAAGGATATTGTCGAGCAAATCCGTAGCAACAAGGGCGCCGCCAACGATGAGGCTGCCGAGAAGCTGCTCTTCACTGAGATGTGCGAGATCTGCCTTTGGGGCAACGCAACAGACCTGTCGCTTTTGACCAGCTTGACGTACGAGGACATTCAGAAGCTGCAGGGCTCCGAGGCCCGCAAGGCTTCCGAGAAGAACATCATCGCCAACGACCTCCCCGCTGTGTACGAGCTGCTGAAGAAGGCCAAGGCCGAGGGCAAGGCCGAGCGCCGCGTCGACATCGTCCTCGACAACGCTGGATTCGAGCTGTACGTCGACCTCATTCTCGCTGGGTACCTCCTCTCTGCCGGTCTGGCAACACACGTTGTCCTGCACCCCAAGTCCATCCCCTGGTTCGTCTCGGACGTCCTGCCGGGCGACTTTGCTCAGCTTCTGAGCGCCATCGCCGCGCCCAAGCCCTTCTACGAGACACCCTCAGAAGACGAGCAGTTGCAGAACAAGACCCCTGAGCCCCTGTCGAGCACGGACGAGGCCAACTTGTCGTTCCTGTTCCAGGAGTGGAGCCGTTTTCACGCGGAGGGGCAACTGATCCTGAGACCCAACCGCTACTGGACGCATCCCGGTCCCTTCTGGCAGTTGCCCGAGGAGGCCAAGGATCTGTACGAGGACCTCAAGGCCAGCGAGGTCGTCATCTTCAAGGGCGACCTCAACTACCGCAAGCTGACTGGCGATGTAAGTTGCCCTGTGCTCTACTAATGCGACAAAGCTGACACGTTTTCAGGCTGACTGGGACGCCGCGACGCCCTTCACGGAAGCCATCAAGAACCTCGGCCCCGGCTCCGGCGTCAACGTCCTCGCTCTGCGCACCTGCAAGGCAGACGTCGTCGTCGGCCTCCAGCCTGGCGAGGATGAGAGGCTGAAGGCCCTGCCTGATGGCGGCGGCGACTCCGGCTGCAGAAAGTGGGGATGGAGCGGCAAGTGGGCAGTTGTGTCTTTCTCGCCCGGCAAGTGAGCTTCTTTTGTTCATTCCGTTTTATATCTTTTAGAGCCATGATCCCATATAGACCCTTCAATTTGAGCAGCCCAGATGCAAATAGACCGATTGTCATAGAGTTAGGCTATTGCTGTTCTTCACCTTGCTGCATGTCCTCTCCTCGCCGCTGAAATACAGCCAACACCATCACAATCCCGAGTTCTGCCACTTTCCTTCGCCTGTTTCGTGCTCAAACCCAGTCGCCAACGGAAGGATCGTAGATTGGAATTCGTGGCCTTGGCCGACGTAATGCTCGACTTGAAGGCTGAGAGTCGTTGTCCTTGTTCTGTGTATGTTCTGGACCTTCCTGGTCCTTCGAGTTACCATGGCTCTGGGCGTCAGCATGGTTGTCGGTGTTTCCCTGCACTTTTGAGTTCTCTTGATCTTGACAGCTACTCGGGCCTTCATCCTCTGGCTCCTGGTGTGGCTCGTCTTGCTTAGTCTCCATAGGTGCGAACTCCGGATTTGTTCCTTCCTCTTGTATTCTAACCCTGCATTGCCTTTTTCTGGCGGCCCATTCTTTTGGATCCTCCGCTACGGGCAACCATCAGCAACTCGGTCTGTGAAATCATATGAGGTATTCTTACCAGGGTAGCATTCCGGGCAAATGATGTGTTTACAGCCGTAGCAGTCGTGTCTGTTCCTATTCGGCACACGACACTCGCAGCAGTGCCACATTTGGTTGCAGATGCGGTAACAGCAGTCTGGCTCGCAGAACGTATCCTCGAAGTAGTCGTTTCGTGTGGTTAATGAGCCGCACAATCGGTAGCCGCTCTCGAAAACGTAGGTTGCATTCTCGCATGGCGTATTTCTTTGACGATCGTGGCCGCATACCGTAAAATTGAGGAATACTTCACGGCACATGTTGCCTGTTTGGTAGATTGTGTTTATGGCAGACGAGAATCCAAACTCGGGTCAACAGGTGAGAAGAGCTTTTTATCATTTTTGACCTAGGAATTATCTGATCCATCGTGTGGCCATTAAACAAAAACAAGGTATGAGAATTGTATGGTTAAAGATAGGAAGGACCATTCAGGTCGCCGCTGCCTCCGCACCTTTTTGGCTTGCCCTTCACCGAAGCTCGCCGCCTCCACACCGAATCCATCACCAAGCTCACCTTGGAGTAGTCTACCAAATATTACAACATCGTACCAAAGCAGATACAAAGAAGGCTTTACGACAAAAGAAACCCCTCACCCACAATCCAATTCTGCATCCCTCCTTCCTATCCATCTCTCAAATACAGATCCCGATGCAATCCGCCCCGCCCCTCTTGGGATCGCAGTCATCTCTCGGGTCATCGATGCAGTACTTGCCCGCCGGACACGCCTTCCCGACGAACCCGCCGCACTGGATCTCCTGCACGCAGATGCCCGGCATGTCGCACGCCTGGCCGCAGCCGCCCACCCACGGGTCGTCGATGCACGCGAAGCCCGCCGCGCAGACGGGCGCCGGCGTGGGGCGGAAGCCGCCGCAGTCGCTGTAGCTCTTGGTCTTGCTCGGCAGGAGGTGGATCGTCTTGGTCGGCCGGACGAGGCTGGTCAGCGTCGCGGGGAGGGTGAGGCTCGAGAGCAGAGTTGAGGCCGGGCCTGGGATTGGGTCGACAATGGTCGGGAGAGGCGAGCCTGGGAGGGAAAGTAGGGTCGTTGGGAGGACTGGTTTGATGGTTGATGTTGCGGCGCTGAGGAGTGGCTGGCCGAGGACGGCGAAGAGGATGAAGGAGACGTGCATGGTGAGCTTTTTGGATGGGGAGAAACACACAAAGTTTCAAGAACCAAACGTTTGAAAGTTTGATACGAGGCTGGGAAGTTTTAAGTGATTGGTTTGTTGATTTTGGCTTGGGGGAGGAATGCGGTCTGATGGGCCTCATATATACTGCATTCCAGCCACCGCACCAGCTCCAGTCTCGACCGACATTTCGGGCACAAACACGGGGTACATCATCATTTCTTCTTCCATTTCTGGGGTCATGTCTGACGTTGAGTGCAAGGGAGGAGGTCCCGAGGTTGTCGTCTCCAAAAATGGAAACATGCTACAAAGGAGGCTAAGGCGGGAGGGAAAACGCCTTTCGTGTAACCACTTCAGGCCCTGATCGACAGCCCAGAATCCAGTTTCGAGAATTCAAAAGCGGCTTAGATACTGTCGCGGAAAGCCACAAACATACGTTGCACTTCCTCTCCTATCTCAAGAGGTGCATAGAAATACGGCCATATGTAACACCCAAGAGGCTTGTTCCGTTCAATACACTCCGGCTACATAGATGCATGTTTAGTTTTCAAAATCTAGTCTTCAGCTGGTGATCGTAGAAGAAGCGCATTGGCTTCGTTGTGCTTTGGCAGCTTCCGCGCGGGGAATGGTTGAGCGGCTGCCAAGGCCACGCGGGAAGATCTTCCTCCTCTTACGTTGTGACGCCCTTTCAGGTGGGACGTTTTCGGAGTGAGACTGTCTTCGTGGGAGAGGCTTACTACGGCAAGGCGGTTTAACAACACAGGCATCATATGGTAGGGTGTGATATAAGGTTTTGCAGCATGGGGGCTAAAGAGGCGGGTAAAACGGTAGGCTGCCCAGGCCGGTTCAGCTCGGTATGATTGAGGCGTGCCGAGGCTGTTTTCTGGTTGGTGATGTGTTGGATGTTGGGGAATACGAAGGATCCGGAAGGATACTTTGGATGAACGCAGTTGGTCCGATCTTTCGAGTGCGCCCTGCGTCATCTGACAGGCGGAAGAAAACACGGTCGGCCCGTATGGGAAGGATCCGTACAGCCACCGCCCGGCAGGCTCCGATAGGCCCCACCATTGGCTCCGGTCCGGCCGCCGAGACTCCGGCTTACTGCCGCTCTGAAACATGAGCGAGTGCCTCACTGTTCAACTTGATAGGATTGAGATTTAGATTATTGTGCCTCTGAAATGCAATCTCCAGTCCCGAAGAGAAGCTAAAGTCCTCCATATTCGCGGGAATAATGTTCTCCCCACACCGAGAGCAAGGTCCTTGTCTTGGCTAACCTTTTTATACAAGGTTTCAAGCGGTCCCTTGTTTCTTAAAATAGGTAGTTCCCCTTCCCCATCACCGACCGCTTCCAGCATGTCTCGGAGCAACACACCACGAAATGACCAACGAGCGTAAGACGAGAATCACCAGAACGCGTTCCGGATGCCTAACATGTCGTAAGCGGCACACCAAAGTCGGTTACACTTTTCTTTATGACTGCTTTGGGTGTTTTCAATTAGGCTAATCAATCGATGCAGTGCGATGAAGGAAAGCCTCACTGTCAGACTTGCATGCGGCTGAACATCCCGTGCGCCGGGTACCAAACGGGCTTCAAGTTTCAAGAAGATCTCCAGCCGGTGCGTCTGAAGGCTCGGAGGCAGGCTAAGCGGGGAGCGCCGGTGGTCTCGCGGCAAAGTGGGACATCCGCTTCGCCAGGCTCATCGTCAACTACACTGGAAGAAGAGCTCACGGCAGAGGGCTACGACGAGAAATGGCTGCGCGTGCACTTTCCCTCTCAGCTTCCACGCATTTTTCGCGAGATTTTGCAAGGTGTGGGACATGAAAGCGTCGCATATCGTGCAGCGGTGTATGCTCTGGCGCACGTTCCAGTCGAGTTCAGCAGCGATGCGCCGAACGAGACGCAAGTCACGGCCTTGAAGTTCTACCACTTGTCCCTTCAAGACGTTGCCAAGTGTCTTCCGGTAGAAGACGCCGACCACATGGCTCTTTCCTTGGCCATCCTCAGCGTGTTGTCAATCGTAGAGATGAAGCTTGGGACATATCTGGGCGGCCTCACTCACGCCAAGCAAGCTGGCGCGCTCATTGCCGATAAACTAGGCATTCTTTCTTCTTCAGCAGTGGGAAAACAAGTGGTTGCCGCGTGGTTCCCCATCAAAGCTTGGTATTCTGTTCAGTGTGTGCCATGGGACAAACTTGCTCGCGTCCTGCCATCCGAGGCTCTTGGTCAATCTTGGGATCTGCTTCAGTCATCGGACGACAAGAGCCATGAGCTGGCTGCGCTTCTGGTCGAGAGTCGACGGCTGTACGCCCTCGTATCACTACATCGACTGCTGAAGACGAGTTCTAGCACAGATAACATATCGAGCTGGCCAGATTTGTATCAAACAGTTGTCAACAAGTGTTCCTCTGGGCTTAGCAAAAGCGAGGAAGTATCGTACCGCTCAGAAGTGGCCGGCCTTCGCGATAGGCTGGATGCCTGGCACGACTCGATTCCGTTAGAAGACCGACCCATCTACGGCACGACATCCAGGCTTAAGAAGAAGCTCTACTCACAGCCACCCGGTGCACGGATTGAACCACTCACCTTCCAGTCCTATCGTGCAGCAATGAACTACGCCCGTTACGCCGCCGCCCAAGCCCTCTCCTCCGACGAGACCCTCAACATCGTCACCGGCGCGACCTCACCTCCTACCGCATACAGAGACGAATGGAACCACCTTATCCTCCAGATCCTCGCTGGCCTAGAAGAAGTACCGTGCACCGGCGATGACGACAACTACCTGGGTCTGACGTGGATTGTTGGCCAAGTCGTCGGGCTGCGCTGCTTAGATCCCTCCGTTATATCGTGGATCGAACGCCACCTCGAGCTCTTGGCTTCGGCAAGCCAAGATTGGGGATCTCTCATGCCCAAAGACCTCTTTCGGCCCCTCCTGGCTTTGCAGAGGGGGCTGCTTGAGCGCGGGCGGGTAGCGGTGCATATTTTTGGGGATATGGGGCCTAGTATTGAGCTTTCTGAGGCGAGATCTCCTGCGGCCAAGAGGTTTGTGCTAGTTGTGGGATTGGATATTGAGTCTGGCAAGGGCTTTCGCGAGATGGTTGTCATAGAGTAGGGCCACATTTGCGTAAGGGGATGGCTTAGACGGGTGAAGTGGAGATATTTCCCAAAGTGGAAAACGAGAGCGCGCTCTGGGGAGATGGTTTTGGGGGTGCCAAGAGCTCGTGTTGATGAACACCAGTTGAATATTTCGTTGTTGCCTTGGCGATAATCATGTATAAAGACAATGGAGGATATACGGTGATTAAAGGTGCATCTTTTAGCATCTTCATTCTGCCAGAGCTGACCTTGTTCCCTTCTCAAGTTGAAGTCAGCTAGCGACAACAGCCCGCAACATGTCAGCCACACTATCCGCCTCGACACTGGTCGCAACTCCAAGTCCGACTGAGACGACAGCGGCCGCATGTATCAGCATCGCCCCGGACTCAAATGGCCATGTTCCCTATGGTGTCTGCCACGGTTTCTGGCCCTATATCCCTAGCTTTGAAGGAAACCTCGCTCTCGCCATTCTGTTTGGCCTATCGGCCCTGGTTCACCTTGTCCAGGCAGTCATGTACAAGCAAGTAAGCGCTTATCGATTTCCGCAATTAATGTTCAGGTTAGGCCTGATATCTAACTCAAACTTTGCTTTAGCGTTACTGCTGGGTTATCATCATGGCCGGCGTCTGGGAGACTTCTGCCTTCGTCCTCAGGACGCTAGGAGCGAAGAATGGACGTGTGTTGCCATTCTACATCATCTCATCGCTCACCTTTATGCTCGCCCCCTTATGTAAGTCATCTGGCTCATTCACTCAGGAGACGTACGGCTGCGAACAAGTCGAGACTGATCGCCGTCTTCTTAGGGATCAATGCATATGCCTACATGGTCGGGGCTCGCATCGTTCACTTTTCTCTTCCCGACCGACGAGTCTTCCGCATCAAAGCCTCCTATATGACGAAGCTCTTTGTCGGTGCTGATTTGGTTTGTTTTGGCGTTCAGGGAGCCGGTGGCTCGATGCTATCAGGACAGGGGAGCGCTTCAACGATGCAGACGGGAAAGATTCTCTACACTGCAGGTTGCATAGTTCAACTCATCTTTATCGCCGTCTTCACTGCAGTGGCTGTGCAACTGCACGTCAAGGTCCGGAAGAACCCGCTTTCGGCCTGGAATGCCAACTCGTTGCAGCTGATCTGGGTTATCTTCATCGTCTTGATTCTCATCTTCGTAAGCACCTCCGGGGGTGTCTTGTAAGGATACGTGCTAACCTACATCTAGGTTCGACTTATTTTTCGACTGGTTGAATTTGGTCCCGGCGGAATGAATGAGACGATAATGACTGCAGAGGTGTACGCGATTTGCCTCGACGCTGTGCCCATGGCGGTCGCACTGGTTATGCTGAATGTTTTCCATCCTGGTCGAATGTTGTCTCAAACAGCTTTCGACCGAGTCATCATGGAAGAATCTGAGATGGGCAATATACCAAGACGCCAGGGACGCTACGAGGAGCTGGGACAGGCTGATCGAAATGGTTCGGTCTCGCCATTGCCTAAAGGATGTTTGCCATGATCGTTCCTTTAGGGTCATCTTCAATGCCAGCTGGCTCACCAGCCCTGCCAGTAGGATTGAGGTACAGGCCGTTGATGCGAGCTGTAATAATATGTAATCTAAGATGTCTCTGTCACATTATTGTCGTGTACTGTACTATCGCTGCGCTACAAATATCTCAAATGCCTCATGGATGTCTACGAAGAAAGTTCCACTCATAGCTTTGGCGGAACCGTAATGCCCAACTCCTTCGCAATGATATCCGCTGCCTTCTCGCCGACAACAAAGGCAGTATTATTCGTGTTCGCGCCCACATTCTCCGGGCAGATGCTCAAGTCCACGAGCTTCAGCCTCTCCACACCGTACACGCTCAGGCTGGAATCGACGACACCCTTGTCATCTCTGGGCGCCATCTTAGCCGTTCCCAGCGAGTGCCACGTCGTGTTGAGGTTCTCTCTGACAAACTGCTCGATCGCCTTGTCGTCTTCCGCAGTATACTCGATGTTGACGACATTCTTGTGCGCATCTGCAGAAACGTCGTCCACGAGCGCGGCCTTGGACGTGGGCGCAAAGGCAGGGTGACCGCCGGTGACTTCACCGCGGTAGAGAGCTGTGCGCCGGGCGATTTCGCGGGCTTTCTTGTACGCCCAGATGTGCTTCTTCAAGTCGATGTCGTTGGCGTCCGTGAGGAAGCCGGGGTTGAAGTCGAGCGGGTCGGAGACGTTGGGACCCGTGATATGGATGTGTCCGCGGGAATAGGGATATGCGGTGTAGTTTGCGCCGGTGGTGTACTGGCCTACTGGGATGCCTGAGTGGTCACCAAGGAATCTGTAGGATATTAGTTTCAAGTTTTCTCAAGTGAAGATAGGCTGGAAACTGACCCATGTAAGAAACCGCTGAGCATCAGCGGGCGGTTGATGTCGTTCTTGAAGTCATTGTCCCATGCGGCGCGGAACTCAGGGCCCAGGGTGTCAATCTCCTCCTCTGTTGGGCGGATCTTGCTGACGATGTCGACGCCGTTCCAGCCCAGCATCTTGTGCTTCTGTGCTATCGCATCTTCGTGGCTTATGCGGCCACTGAAGATCTCGTCGAGTGTCTCATCCTTTGAGAGCGCTGTCTTGTAAGGGTAGAGGATGAGATGGTGGTCCTGGTAGTCATGCCCAACGCCGGGAAGATCGGTAACAACGGGAACGCCGGCCTTGGCGAGAACCTCCTTGTTACCGACACCAGACCTCTCCAGGACTCCAGGCGTACCGCATGCACCGCATGAGACGACAACGAGCTTCTTGGCCTTCACGGTCTTGACAGGATGCCTTGTGGTGTTCAGGACAGCCTGGTAGTCGGGGTTCGGAGTGTACTCCACACCGATGGCACGCTTGTGCTCATCGAAGATCACCCTCACTACCTTTGACTCAACCAGAACATGGAGGTTGGGATGCTTGCCGTCCTCGAGGAGCGGGTGCAAGAAGGTATGGGCGGCATCTTGTCTCTTGCCATCGGGCGAGACGTAACGCATCCATCTCTCGAAGCCATTGTTTGCTTCCATGTTCTGCAAGTCGCGGATTTCGGAGTATCCCATCTGCTGCGCCGCAGCAAGGATGTCGTCCTCGGCGCCCGGGACCCGAAAGCCTCCCGAAGAGATGTGTACGGGGCCTGACTTGCCATGGTCGGCCGGGTCACCATTGCCATGGTACGTCTCAAAGCGGTTAAGGTACGGGCGGAGGTCTTGGGATGACCAGCCGGGTGTCTTCCAAGAGTCGAAGTCGGATTTCTGGGCGCGCGTGTAGCTGTGAGTATGACTCGTTAGCAATGGATCTCGTGAGGCAAAGCAGAGTCAGAAGGAGGCCGATCGTCTGGAGCTAGACCCCGAGCTACCCCAACTTTTCCCCCTTCCCGATCTCATATGCCGCGTTCCCCCGCATTTCGGATCTGGGGGCGGGATGAAACCGTTGACGAGCTGTTGAGTACGGTGTTCGTGGGGTAAAGGGCGGAATTATGGGCAAAATTACGTACAGCATGAAGTTGATGGAGGAACCGCCTCCAAGCATGCCCCCGGATGGAACAATGGGGCTGCGGCCTGCCAGCTGCTCCGACGGGCTGCCTTGGTAGAAGATTGCGGTCTTGCTGTCGGGAGCAAGGTGGTCGAGGAAAAAGGCCGGATGAACGACGTTGGGGACATCGCGGTTATTGGTTCCGCCCTCGATGACCAGAATTGAGAGGTCTGGTGCCGTTGTCGCGAGGCGGCTGGCGAGAACGCAAGCTGCGGTTCCTCCTGTTCATTGTCAGCAATTGCCCTTGTCGTTCGAGATAAGTTTCGGTATTACCTCCAGCGATGATTATGTCCACCTCGTCGAGGCCATCGGCCAGCTTCTTGGTAAGACCCATTGTGTCGGTATCGCAGAAAAAAAAGACGGTTGGTTCTCAATGGATCAGAGAGACAACAGGGCCAAAGAAAGTCGGGACGAAGACCGTAGCAACAAACACATCGCGGACTCTGGGTTTTATATGCCTACTCCGCACCGCCAAAGCTGCATTGGAGACGAAAACGCGCCCAGACATTGCTGAAATCTCTCATTCCGCAGTGCTTCCGCGCGCTGATCTCTCGTTCTGATACCCATTGTTGGGGCACATGGCCGCACGGATGATGGCGGCCGCCAGCTGCGCCAGGCGGACGGGCGGACGAGGTGCATCGGGTGCGGGGAAGGGTGTCCTTTGGTGATGTGTCTAGAGCTGTGCCGCGTTGCATCGTGGAAGCAGGCCAAGGTAGAGACCTCGTACGCTGTGTCTTAGACAGGGGGCCTTTTCGTGTGTATAGCCAATGGATGTCGACGTGTTTGCTAATCGCTGCAGCTCTCAAGGGTCCTAATGCTTCTTGGGTTTAGCCTTACCATTCAGGGCGAAGCCGGGATGCGTGTTAGGGGCATGCAAGCTGCTGTGTAACTGCGCTATTGACTAAGGGCCATCGGAAGCGAGCCCTCGTATTTTAGGGAGCTTGGGGAGAGACGGAGAAAACAATGGAGAACTATTACTGACTCGAAAGATTGTTAGAGTTCAACGAGGTTGGACGTGTCAACGTGCTGCGGTTTGTACGACGATCTCTGGGGGCGGCGAAGGATTCAGTGTGCATGCGGGGGATGAGGGGGAGACGGGAATCCATCCCGAGGAGCTGCGCCGGTGGCCCCCCGACGAATGAGCTTCCAAGGACGGTTGACATCTTCCTCGTTGGGGGATGTGGGAGGGACCCTCTTTGCGGGGTGAACAAGGGTCTGCCAAGGAGGTTGCTGAGTGATGGCACGCTGCGGTTCATTGTCTAGATGAGGAATGATGCCGTAAAGCGCATGAGCGCTTGGGCGCTTCGTCAGACTCTACGTAACATAACCTGGCATGGAACTTTGGTATTTTGTCGGTGAAGCATGATGTTGTTGCTCTGTTTGGCTGGAATTGCTCGCATCGCCAGCCTGTCGCAGAATCATCAGTGACCCATTGCAGTCTCAGCTGGGATCCTCAACTGAGACAACGCAAGGAAAAAGAACCACAAATAATGACTCATGTGTTTTGGCGAGATCTTCAACGATCCAGCACTTCAAAAGACTTTACTCATCCTCTTCATTACAAAATGATAGGGACAAAAAGCTGTCTCCAGCACTGTAAGGATTGTTTAGTGCGTATATCGAATGTTGTATGATTTGGACACTGGTCAGGATGCCTACGGTGTCTTTGAAATAATTGTTTCCTGAGAAACCTTTACCTCGCGGTATTGTATAGAACATCACGAGAAAGCTTGTCTATGTTTTTGTCGTCTCGCCTTGTTAGACTGATATAACGTCTGATCCTGGAGAAGTAACCGAAACATTCAAATTCTCACACTATTACCGCGAGGTAAAGTAATACCTTAGGCAACCTGGCTTTCTTGTTGAGTCATTATGCGTGTCATCTGCCTGTGCCTTTGACCCTACCTAACACTCGGCACTGAGATGGAATTGCATTTGGAAATTATCGGTGCTTATGTTGAAAAACCTAGTTGCGTAGGAAATTCCTGGTTTCTTTTTCTCCATAAGTTCTTAACACGAAACGATCAGCAAACTGACTTAAACACTTTCAACTTCCCCTTTGCCTTCTTAAGCCATGCTTTTGAAGCTTTGTCGTTGTCGATATCGACGTCATCAACGTCCGATTGTTCATTATCCATCCTTCGGATGCAAGATTTATATACCTTGGTGAAGAACTCAACTCGAGCAACCCGTTCATCTTCATATTCCTCCCGGAAGAATACGAGAGCCTTCTCATCTTTCCACTTACGGTAATCACGGGAGGACTCTTCCCGCCAAGAACGCCCCGAGAGCTGCGGGAAAAAGTCGAACAATGTCCCCGAACAGTTGGGGACCTCATAGTTGGGTACATGCATCTTCAATGCATCAACTTCCCATCGCGCCATGTTCTCGATGTCCGACTTCTGTCTCCCAGGAAATGCCGTCTGAGGTTTTCTGTCCATCACTAAGGTGGCAATCAAGTTGATCGCCAGGTTGACATGGTCGGAGTAACTCATTACTTTTTGACGCCATACATCGTCCAGCTTCGGCTTTTCTGGTTGAGGTTGTTCTTTCCGCTCGTCCTGCCTAGGTCCCTCTCGCCTCAACTTCCCCTTCTTCTTTTCCGAGACTTCCAGCTTTCTTGCTGTTCCCCGTATTCTTTCTGCTTCCTGTTTCTCTAGTGCCCGTACAAGCTTGTCATTTTTCTCCGCCTCCTTTTGTTTTACCTCACGCTGTTTCACTACCTCTAGCCTTCGTTCCACATCCCGGCTACTTTCTACATTCTCTATTTCTTCTTCCCAACCCTCAACCATATTGCGGAGGTCAAACTTCTTCCGGTCCTGTACATTACGTATGCTCCTGTAAGCAGGTTCGAAAGGGAACGTTTCCTTCATGTAACATAAAAGGGACTGCAGGGGTATTTGTTTCCGAAAGACTCCTCCAACGAATCTTTTTTTGTTCGGCCAATACCCTACCTTATGGTCCACCTGATCAGGTAAACTGACCGGATCGTTTCCTTCCATATGGGACCAAAACCAATCCAACTGTTTCTTGTTCTCCAAAAGGATTCCATCATGCTTGGTTAGAAAATCAACCCATGCTTTGATGCGCTGTGGGACGCGACGTGCCTCCTCGAAATGAAAGAGCACAATACAGGCGAACTCATGAGCTGCTCTAGCGATAAGTTCGATCATTCGGCTGGCAACATTCGATTGCCATATCATGTCATCGAGGAAGACAGAAAGCAGCTTTACCAAAGCCGTTATTGCTCTGCGACTCTGGCGCAGGCTTGGGAAATGTCGTAGAACAGTACTGGCAATGTGATCAAGTGTCTTCGATTTATTCTTCCGTTGATAGTATACCTCCTGCTGTTCTTCATATGTGTAGAGGTCGTCATTGGCACTCTGGCTCAAACCCATCAACTCGTTCTGCTCCGCAGCGCCCATCGAATCTTCGTCCCAGAGAAAGTCTGGAGAGTCATTGCCTGTGACCTGATTGTCCAGACTAGAGGCTTTCGTGTCTTCATCGACGATGTTGAGGATCGATTGACTTTCAGGGGAGTCTTGTCTTTTATGTTTTAGGATGCTTAGAATACCGACGTTACCGGCTGCGTCAAGAGCGATGGCCTCTGGATATCGCCCGTTGGTGTTTTGTAAGCTGATATCGGCTCCTTGTTGAATTAGAAGACGCAAGATATTATGTCGTCCGAGTTTAGCTGCGACATGGACGGCCGTGTTTCCATTCGCATCGGCAGCGTTGAGCGGCGCACCTTTTTCCACTAAGGCCATTACCACGTCAATAGAGCCGCTGATAACCCCACAGTGCAGTGGCGTTCCATACGTCTTATCTCTGAGGTCCAGTCTAGGTTTCCACTTCAAGAGACAAGCGACGAGATCGGATGCTCCTAGATAGCAAACCCCATGAAGAGCAGCCATTCCTCTCTTGTCGACATGGTTGACACTTGCGCCTTGCTTAAGGAGCAGATCGAAGTTAGCAGCAGATGCGCAGTAATGCAAGGGGGTTCGTCCCAACACATCCTCAATTCGTATCAGTCCAAGGTCCTTCTCCAAGATCCAGGAGGCAACAACACTCGAAGGCCCAGTGACAGCTAGGTGAAGTGGCGTTTTGCCCATATTATCTCGGGAGGACAATCCGGAGTTGAGATCATCAATGCGTGAGTTGAGTAATTTTGGAATAGTCAGCGTTTCGGGAACATCGCGCCGGGCAGCGATTTGAGCCGAAAAGTGGATGGGATATGTGAAGACGTCAAAGCCATTCGGTGATCGAAAAGGGATCTTTACAAGCCCTCTATTGGCACATAGAAGAGCCTCAATGACTTGATGGTCTTCGAAATCAATCGCCATCATAAGGGCAGTTCTTCCATGTGCATCCACAGCCTCAAGAGGCCTGATCCCACCGATAAGTCGCACTGTCTCATCCAGTTGCTTAGTGTGGCTTGGCCCATGCATAGCAAGACGCTCTAGGGCGGTTGATGCACTAAGAGCACAGGCAAGAGAGTTGATGCTTGAAATTGTGCGCTTTCGGGCCCTCATTTGCTGTAGTAAGTAGGCAAGAATATCGCTACAATGGTATTTCGCCGCAACATGGAACGCTGTCCAGCAAGACCGAAAATCCCCTTTCGGAAATTGTGCGCAACTATAAACAGGGGAAAGCGGATCAGCTCCAAGGGAAAGAAGTGCCTTAACAGCTGGGAGACTATTGACAGATATGGCAACAGCTAGCGGACTGCCTGATAACTGTAAAGGCCACTGATCGTGAATTGGTCCTGAAGAACACATCGGAAGGTTTACTAAACGTCGATCCGCTTTTTCAGAGAGACTTTTGACTATGTCTTCCAGGGCTGCATCTTGAAACAGGAACAGCCAGTGGAAGGGACTGCATCCGTCGACGGCAGAATTGTTCAGAGAGATACCTTGTGATAAGAGGTTTAATATTGCTGGCGAGTTTCCTTTAAAGAAGGCTTTTACTAGGCTTGGCATTGCTTTTGAGTAATCCGTGTTGAGTCGTAGCAGGCCTGAGATCTTTGAAGCATATTGCTCATCCGGCGACGTTGACGAGCGGAGATTGCGAGGATCGAGTAAATGTCCGAAGGTCATGGCAAGTGGGTGGAACTCCGACTTGGCCATCTCAGAGTATTCGCAAGCCTTTTGAGCATCCTTCGTGGTCCCAAATCCGACGTAATAGCACAGAGCAATCTGCCACAATATAGGGCCACGCTGTTTTGCCAAATTGTTCGTATGTGAGCGCTCGAAACCCTGGAATATCTGTCGTTGGTGATCCCAAAGGATTTCTTTCCCAGTATCTAGACGAAACATCTACTAGAAGTCAGTTGCTTATACATGGATGGAAGTGAGTGTTCATGTGTAGTTGGAAAACATACTTCGTAGGTTGGCGTAGGTACCTCAAAGTGCAGAGCCAAATCAGCTTCAAGGCCGAGCAAGTTACCATTACTGATCTGTCAGCTGAGGTCAATAATGGGATGAATGACGACAGTGTGCATACTTCCATCTTGTGAATAGAGGGAGATCCCGCATGTTTCCAGCTCGTTTTGAAGGATCTTCTTGAATAGTCTTGTGTAGGACAATCCGAAGAAACATGGCAGTTCCCAATTGCCCCGTGGGTAGACAAAAGTTTGCATGGCGGAGTATCTCAGCTGCACTGATGCCAGAACCCTTGCCTGAAGTGTCTACGACAACGCCGCTCTTTGCAAGGTACTTGATGTATTCTTCGCCCCCGATACAAGCCTCCCAGACGAGAAGACCAAATGCCCATATACCACATTTCCAAACCTCCGTTCGGTTTATTGGGAAAACGTCTTGGGGTCTCACTTCGGGGACATTGTAACTATTCACATGGTAAGTCAAGAGGCTTCAAGATCTTTCTTAACGAAAGGCGATGTTTTAACCTACATAGCAGTACCGCCATACTTAACTGCTTCATCATCGTACTTCTTCGAGTGGTCATTCAGAATGAGCGCGTGACCGAAGTCCGTCAACTTTGCCAACGCCTTAGCAGGACGATCCCATGATGGAAACACCAGTACATTGTCCAGTTTGATATCGCCGTGCACTATACCGCATACATGCAGGGCCTCAAGAGCTGACGCAACATCGCCAAGGAGAATCTCAATGTCAGGAAGCGGCGGCTGAAACTTCTGAATATACTCTCTCAGTGTTCCAAGCGGGGCGTACTCAACAACCAGGAAAGGTATGATCAATTCGCCCCGGACACTCCAACCGTAGCCGATAACAGTGGGGAGATTAGGATGAGCTCTCAGTGGTGAGTGTCTCATGATTTGCGCCTCAACGGCCACTGCGGTGAGCCGCCGCCGGAAGGTTTTGTCGTCTGGAGTGCTGCTGATCTTCAAGTGCTTGACGGCGACAACATTGCCACCCTGGACTGCTTTCTCTACCAGGTATGTCTCCCCCTCACCGAGAATCTCCTCCCTGGCTAGGTCTTCGTAAACATAGCGGCGTAAATGAAGCGAGCCCACTGCCCTGATGACATCCTCGAGCCCATGGACCGACTGGTTTTGGTGCCCCGAGAAAGCCGCGCAGGTCAGAGTCGAAACAGATGTTCGAGACAAGAACGTATTCCAGCTCAAGGTTGAGCCGACCGATGCTGGCGGACAATCCATGACGTCGAAGATTGCTTAGGTTCATGGACGAGGAGGATCAAGATGTCGTTTCTCAAGCCGCCATCATCAATCCAGCCATACAAAGTCGAGAAGAAGCAAGGACATATGGCCGAAACGCATTGGCCTTGGTCTTCCTGTGCGGATGGAGAGGGGAAAGGCAGCGAACCTCTGGCTTGCCTCACGCGAAATCAGGCTGCCTGGCTCCCACCCACCCTTTAGTCACATGAGGGATTGAGAATCAGGCTGCATGGCTCCAGCCAAGACTAGATCACACAGCGTGGCGCAGTCATCATGCTACATATATGCTGACTAAATACGAGATGACTGGTGGAATTAAAATCAGGGCTGTCTACTTCCCCCTCAATTTCGAATGCGAAAAGCGGCGTTGAAAATTTTGAAGTATTCAAGAACTTCGTAGCCCCGACTCCCGAAGATCTAAGCGGGAACCATCATGGACCCTCTCAGTATTGCAGGGTTGACGATTGCTGTCCTCGACCAATTATGGAAAGTCGGTAATCGAACAGCGGAGCTGGTGTCCGACTATCGAGGATTCGACACGGTAAGAACTTCAGCAAGTCCCAGCGGAAGCCCTTGACTGTTTGGCTGATCCGACTTCATTGGGTAATTACCTTAGGACACGAGAATATTGGAGAACAAGCTACGAGACGAGAATAACCGGACCAGAGCTCTGCAGTTGCTCTTATTCGAACTCTCCAGCGTAAGTGCTAGGCCCACACAAATACCATCGTGCGTTGGTTGCCCTTAACTGACGCGAGAACCAAAGACTTACGGGGGCAAATCGCTGTTCGAGCAGTTTGACAAAGATGTCCAAGACCAGATCCTTGTCTTCCTTGAGCAGGCATCTGATGTGTTGGAACAAGCCTACAGGCTTCTCAATCGCCGACAGAAATCCGACATCAAGGACAAAGACCCTCAGTCACCAGCGAAACCAAACTTCATGGCAGCCATCTCGCCCGCTCCGAGTAGCACTTCTTTAAGCTCTGGCGATTCCATATTAAAACGCCCCAAGTCATTCCAGCGGATAAAGTGGTCCCTTATGGACAAGAAGCGGGTTGGAACTATCATCGAAGACTTTAGCGAGTTGAACAGCAGGATTCACGAAAGCATCAAGTTATGGTGTCTCGGAACGTCAATTGGCGTCAATCTTCAACATCTTAACCGCCTCGAAACCGATGACAACTCTCGAGCGCTGGGCTTTGACGTCGATGCTAGGCTTCAACTGACCATTAGCCAGAGCCAAACCACCGCCACAAGTCTCGAGATGAACGACCCCGCCTTGCGTGGATGTGTCGAGAATGCCAGAGGTTTTGGAGGCAAATTCGGCATTTTTGACTGGGAAGACAAGGTGTACCTTGTTGAATATCTTTCCTATTCTCCAGAATCGCCAGTTCCCGTGCCGCTAGATGATCGAACTCGCGCCCTTGTCGACATGCTTGCCAATCTGCTTCACCAGCCTAAAGAAATTGCGTTCAGGACTCCGAGCTGCCACGGCTGGGTAAGACAAATGCAGCAAAACAGGATCGCATACATGTTTTCTTTACCGGAAGCCGCCGACTCCCCTCCGACCAGTCTCCTGAACATTCTTTCTGCGAATAACTCGCACCCACCATCCCTGAGCCAGCGATTCTGTCTGGCCGCCAAACCTTCTAGATGCATATCGCAACTGCACCTGGTAAAATGGGTACGTCTGCATCTCATGATTGCATTCCAAGCTCTGTCTCCTTCTATCATTTGAGCTGATAAATTGCAATTTGACGCCTTCAAGGTCCACAAGAGCTTTCGAAGCGAAAATATTCTCTTCTTTCGAAGGATTGACTCAGAGGGGAGCGTTTCACCTCCAGAGAACCAATCTGACTTATCAGAGCCTTGGCTTTTGGGCTTTGAATTCAGCCGCCCAGAACAATATTTCTCACATGGGCACGCCGATGCATGCTTGTCTCGGGATATTTATCGTCATCCCGAGCGACAGCAAAATCCAACTCAGATATTCAACAAAATCCATGACATCTATGCTCTAGGCGTGGTGCTTCTTGAGATTGGTATGTGGAGTTGCTTTGGAACCAAAGTGAATTGAATAAAATTGCTTACGCACCATAGGGCTATGGCAACCGGTGTTGACTCTCGAGAAGTCAGGGTTCTCCAAAGTTCGAGACCCGAATGCCATCAAAAAGCATCTTATCAAGCATGCAGAGAAGCGTTTGGGAGCTAAAATGGGAGACAATTATCAGAAGGTCGTCCTCAATTGCCTGAAAGGGGACTTCAAGGTCTTCGATGACACCAAAGAAGATCTCAAGCTGCAGCAAGCATTCAGAGCAAACGTCGTGGATCTGTTGCAAAAGTCTGCTGATAGTGTTTGAAGCCAAAGGACAGCATGGTTTGTCAGGCAGGCACTAGGAGAAACATTTGCGAGCGTTAGTGAAGAGATCGTTGGGAGGAAGTACTTTAGGCTCATGGACAAAGATTCTTCTTTTCGTGACTGCTTGTGGAGATTCTAACAATACTTCCATGGTTTGATGTTGCTGGAGCGTTAAATACGACAACTGCATGTAAATGGTAGGACCGCACAGCTCTGGCGGAGTAGGTCGCTGCTAAAATCTTTACAGGCTCAAGAAATTGTTCCAATAGTCCCAATCCAAGTTTCCATCATCCGTTAACCCGATACCATCAAGACTTTGCTGATTGGGAGCCATTGACGCTTGCGCCTCAGTTTCCATCCTTTCCCTCGCTCTTTGCCTGAGGGTCTGGATGAATCGAGATGTAGCTTCTAGGTCCCGTAAGCCTTGGCTTGCAGTCACTGCGTTGTGATGAGCTTCCCAAGCTTCGAGGGTTAAGTCTCGCAAGGCCTCAAAGAAAGTACCTTTCGACTCCAACATTTCTGGATACTCCTCGTAGAGTGTTTCAATAGAATGCCATGCCTTCTTCACTCGATCTCCAGTGCATCTATACCGAAGTTCGCTGATGATGTAGATGTAGGCGTCGATGTGGCATTTGGAAGTCATGTGTGTGAAGATATGTGCCGAGAACTTGCTTCGCAAACCTGCCTCGGCCGCTTCAACCCAGTTCATCGCCAACTCAAATAACATATCATTCTCCTCTCGACTCATGACAACATCGTCGCTGGTGCCGGTCCTTCGACACCTGGGATGATAGACTTTGAACCTCATCCGAGCAATCACCAGCTTCGCCATGTTGAACGTTTGCGCATGAATCGGTATACGCTTGTCTCCGTCCTTCAGGTACTTGTTGTAGTAGATGCCCTCAATCTCGTTGATGGCCTTGCTCTCGACCTCCATCATGGTTTTGTCTCTCGCCCGGCTCTGAGCAATATGCTCGAAGACCAGCGATGCTGCAGGTGTCGAACGAATCCAGTTGAAGACTTCGTACTTCATCAGCACGCACATCATCTCGGTCGGACGACTGTGCTCGATCGGTGCCTCCGTCATGTCGGGGTGCAGATCCGCGTCATTGACGTTCAAGGGCGAGCGCACATCGCCAAATTCACTCCTCGACGGTGGACACCTCGAATCTGGGCTTCCCAACGCGCGAGTTCGCGCTTCGAGTCCGTATAACTGCCACCATACCCGAATACGCATCTCCCTCTCGAAGAAGGATACCTTGGGATCTGGTTTGGCGTGATGAATGCCCAGGCTTCTGCATAGCTTCAGGGCCGCGGCGGTTAGAGTAGCCGTCAGCTCGGACTCGGGGTTGATGAAGAGAAACAACACAAAAGCCTGGACAACCTCAAAGTCCTTTGTCGTGAGAAAATCCGCTTCAACGAGGGCTTGGAAGGCTGCAGTGCGGTAGCGCGTCATCAACGCGACTCTGCTCTCGTTGAAAGCTGTTTGGCAGGCTTCCGGCGACATTGAGGTGACGGAGAGGGCGTATATGGCGAACATGGTTGCTTGCAGGGGCTGAGGCGCTGAAGAAGGATTCCAGCTTGCATCAAGGACGCGTTGTTGTAGGGTGGGGATGTGGACGATCTTGAAGAGAGGGTTGATGTTGTCGACGAAGATTTGCCACAGTCGATATATGTGTTGAGGTTCAGGATGAGATTTGGAGGGTGAGGTACTTTGGGCGGAGAACATTTGATGAAGTGACGGCATCGGTGTCAGGATGGGATCGTCTTTATGGCAGACGCCGTAGATGGGAGGATACTTGAGCTGGTGGATGTTAGATCTGGTACTAAAAAGGTCGCAATTGCTGTAACTGACGTACCTCTGGGCTAAGATTTGACCATGAACATCTACTGAAGAGTCAGTGGAGGGGCAATGCTACCATTACGGAGTGGACATGCCTTTCTGTGTCTCCTAACGAATTATCGATATTTTCTGAGCGACCAACTGCTGAGCCCGGGCTGGTAAGTGCTGGCGTCAAAGGAACGAATCGCATCGGCTCCGGCTCATCAACTTGAGCTTCCAGTTTCGACGGGATCCACGTATGCGCCAGAGATGCGAAGTCAACGTTGTTCTTCCGCATTAAGTCCTCGTAAGCAGCCAACCTATGGAGAAGGTCATCGTCGGCGGCCCGCTTTCGAGGTCTTCTATGCAAGGCGGGAGCCTCGTAAACGCATTGAGATTGCGATTTGAGGCAATTGGAACAGGGGTCTCCTTTGTCACATTTGACTTTACGGCGTGAGCAGATAGAGCAGGCAGGCTTGTGTGGTGATGGTGATCCGGAGGCCATGTTTGAGGTTAGGGCGCAGTCTCATGGGCGGTGAATAGTTGGAGAACATCAGTCGTGATCTCGGGAAATGAGATTGCTAAATGCTAATCTTCAGTTACGCAGGGAGATAACGATGAAGAGCCGTGGACAAAAGAGTCTTTAAGATGACGGGATGTGGCTTCGGGCGATTCGGCCACGAAACGAGCTTAGTGTAATCCTTCTCGGGACCCGGTAAACCAATCACGCTCAGGCCGTCATGGCGCTACCTCCTTCCGGGTGGATAAGGGGTGACGGTCAGATCCTCCGCCGGATGGACCTGCAAACATTTCCGTGGTTTGTCCGGTGCAAAACCGCACCAAGATTGGCGGCAATAGCCAGAGACTTGCTGACTATGAAATGGAGAATATGGAGTCCGGCCCGTTCCATGCGGATACTCAGCAGCGTATGCGCTAACCCCATTTTGATTATTCGGGCCCGAAGGCATTTCAACATTCATGCTAGGCCAATCAAACAACAGACTTGGGTGTTGATCTTCTCGGGACATCAACTAGGCTGCCCGAGAATACCATGGTACATAGAAACACAATCAATATACAAAAAGACACAACTTGCCAACCTAATGATGTATCTATTCTCTCGCTCAGTATCGTGCCTCAGATTTCCACTCAGAACACCCATTCAACAACAACATAGTGGTACCCCCCTCTCATATCTTCAACATGTTCTTCAAAAAGAACCAGTCCACAGAATCCCATGTGTCAGCGCAGCAATCTGACGCTTCGACATATCCCAACCAAAACCCAGTCGTTGAAGACACCGATATGACAATGGAAACACAGGAAGCAACCCATACGAAGACGAATCAATCCGAAGATGTCCAATATCCTTCAGGGCTGAGTCTTGTTTTGGTCCTGGGCTCCCTGTTCATTAGCATGTTTCTAGTTTCGCTTGTAAGTTTTGAAGATCCTCCTGTACTAAGAATGTCCTTAGCTAACAGCATCATCTTCCAGGATCGATTGATTATCACGACCGCTATTCCTAAAATTACCGATGAATTCGACTCTGTAACCGACGTCGGATGGTATGGCTCTGTCTTCCTCCTGACAACCTGCGCATTTCAACTGCTCTTCGGCAAAATATACTCCTTCTATAGCATCAAGGCGACATTCCTTGTCTCGGTACTCCTCTTCGAAGTTGGTTCCGCAATCTGTGGTGCCGCTCCCAGTTCCGATGTCTTTATTTTTGGTAGAGCCCTGGCAGGTGTTGGCTCGGCGGGAATCCTCACAGGCGTGGTAAGTGCTTTGGAAGATACGCCCCTCCTAGTAAGAAATTCGCCATCTAATGCAGCCTCCGCCTAGATCATTGTAATCGTGCACGCCGTGCCTCTCCATAAGCGACCCATGTACCAAGGCATGTTCGGCGCTGTCTTCGGCATCGCCTCGATCATTGGGCCTTTGGTTGGAGGTGCTTTCACAACAAGGCTTACATGGAGATGGTGCTTCTATATCAACCTTCCTTTCGGCGGAGTCGCTGCCTTGGTGATTGTCTTCCTCTTGAAGCTCCCCGACAGAGAGGCAAGCACGCTCTCCACCAAGGCCAAGTTGGCGCAGTTGGACTTTTACGGAACCTCGGTGCTTATCCCCGGAACCGTCTGTCTGCTGCTGGCATTGCAGTGGGGCGGATTGACCTATGCTGTAAGTCGCGATGATTCTTTTATTGATGACATTTATATCCTAACATGGCGTGTAGTGGAACAACGGACGTATTGTTGCGCTTCTTGTACTCGCCTGCGTGCTTCTGATTGGCTTTGTTATGGTCCAGGTCTTCTTGCCCAAGACAGCAACTATCCCTCCCAAAGTTTTCAAGCAGCGAAGCATCTTGGCAGGTGTCTTTGCAACGTTCTGCATCGGATCGCAGAACATGATCATAAGTAAGCATCGCTGACTTACATATTCCATACCTTGAACTAACAAGTACCAGTCTATTACCTGCCCATCTGGTTCCAGGCCATCCAAGGAGTCTCTGCTGTTGAATCAGGCATTCGCCTGCTCCCACTGGTGCTGTCCATGGTCGTTTCGTCGCTGATGACGGGAGGACTCATTCGCCGAACCGGTTACTACACGCCGTTCCTCATCATCGGAGTCTGCTTCATGAGCGTTGGCGCTGGACTCCTGAACACCCTGCAACTGGATACTCCCAGCGCCAAGTGGATCGGGTACCAGATTCTATACGGCTTCGGCACCGGCTGTGCCTCTCAGGTCCCCAACATCGCCGCTCAGACGGTACTTCCGAAGAAGGATGTGCCCATCGGCACCTCCCTCATGTTCTTCTCTCAGCTCCTTGGAGGTGCCATCTTCATCTCCGTGGGCCAGAACGTCCTCAACAACCAGCTTCTTGAGCGTTTGTCGTCGGTCCCGGGCTTCAATTCGGCCTTGATAGAGAGCAGCGGTGCCACCTCCCTGACAGATCTGCCAGCTTCGGTCAAGCAGACTGTTTTGGTTGGCTACAATGAGTCGTTGCGTGTTGTCTTCCGGCTTGGACTCATCTTGACCTGTCTCTCGATTCTTGGGGCTTTGGCGATGGAATGGCGGAGCGTCAAGCAGAATACAAAGAAGGAAGTGCCAAAGGCTGAGGAAAGCCAGGCAGCTGAAAAGGTGTAGCCGAGGACGTCGGATGAACGCAACGTTTGTGGGGGTAAATGCATGTGTGATTTCTAATTTGATAGACTTGCTTCATAGCCAAAATCCGGATCTCAGCTCTAAAGCAGTGACTAATTGGTGCTCTTTTCGCTTGAACTGGTCTTTTTGGGGTTGATGAATGCATGGAACGAGGGTCCAGCATGATGCCTTGAGTTGAGTTGAATGTTCCGGCTGATAAGCAGCCCAATCTATTAGGCACCGGCTGAGGACCTTCCGATCACCAGTCGATTACAGACAACTTTCGATGATGCTTCATGTTCAACTTGCCATCTGGAAATAACATCAAGTCTTCCGTCTTCCGACTTTAAAATGGGAAGTCATGCGGATCGTGAGAGCAAACCAGTTTGACCAAGACATTGCTACTACGTTAGCGGGCGGACGAGTACTACCCCATACTGACTACAACTCTTGAGGGCATGATTTTGACATTAATCCGATGTTGATGTCGATCCTGCCAAATCATTTGACGTCGCTTAGATCGACGAGACACCTAAGCCTCGACTAGGCCTCAGCTGCCCATGCGCGAATCACGAGTCTCGTTTCTGGATCTTTCCGATGAGTCGATTCCTGTTCCCAGACCGCCCGTCGTATGGATCACTGGTCTGGGCTTAAAGTGTTTGGAGCAGCCCGGAATCGAATGACTGGCAGATCAAGATGCGATTGGCACACCAGGTGGGTGGGTTCTTAGGGCCCCGACGGGACCCGGGGCGACCGGGGGCCCCGGCTTCCGTGGCCCTGTCAGTATCTGCTTCAACGGACCTCCATGTAACACTAGGCTGATGCAGGGGTGTTCCGGGAGAGTCACCGGTGTCCTCGGCGGAGGCCAGACCTCAACCACCATGTCAAAAGACCGGCGTTTGGCGGCGGTCGGTAAGAGCACGTGGCGAAGAGGCTGTCATGAGAGCATGACAGACATGACAGAGGCGAAGGAGGCAATGACGTGGAATGGGTTGGTCGTGATAGTGCCTTGGTTTGTGTCACTAGAAAGTTTGCATCCTACGCGGGGAAAGTTCTGTCATGACCTATGCCATGTAGGGCCCCAAGAACGGCATAAGACGCCAGATAATATAATCATGTCAAATACTCCTCTGACGGGATGGGTTGTGGTTGTTGAGAGACTGGGATGTGATGATCTTTTGGAATGGCCTGCCTGGTCAAAGCTTCGGCCGCGGCATCACAGGCAAAGTTGCACATGTGTCTCTGCCCCGCGGGGCAAATCGATTCTCAGCCCCCATAGGATCGACAGATTTCTGATATCACCCGGAGCGTAACACGGCGACTTTTGGGTGGTATGCGGGACTAAATCTGAAAATCTGGGGTAGTACCTTGGCTCACATCTACAGGGCTGTGAAGGATCTACGAAACTTGACTGTGAGGCCGATCGCGCCGGGCCTCGTAAGATCACCCGCTAGTAACGTTTCACTACTACCCACCCCCTCATGATGAGAAGATGATGTAGCTTCAACACATGCTTTCTCAGGTTGACAGGTTGAGAACAGCCAGAGAATGGTTGTGGAAGTAGAGTAGACAACAAGATTCACGCTAGACGCCGTACGAGAACAGACAGAATAGTAGTGAAAGATCCAACAATGATGATTTGCTACAGGCTAACTAAGCTGCAAGGAGTATCCCGGTCCGTACTTTATTCTTCGTCCTCCAATGCCGCGTCTTCTGAGAAATCCACCACGTTCGCCTTAGTCGCGCCGGTTCCCGTCGCACCACCTCCGAGTCCACCGAGAAGAGCACCGAGTCCACCAAATCCACCAGCACCACCTGCACCGGCCGCTCCTCCGGCCCCAGCTCCACCAGTAAATCCTCCAAGGAGAGCACCAATACCGCCAGCACCAGCAGCACCGTTAGCACCACCACCGCCGAGGAGACCTCCGAGCAGACCCTCGAGGCCCCCGGCGGGAGCGGCGGGGGCGGCAGCTGGGGCCTTGGGAGCGGCAGGGGCAGCAGCGGGTGTCTTAGGAGTAGCTGGGGCAGCAACAGGCGCCTTAGAGGCAACGGGAGCAGAAGCAGGGGGGGCAGCACCAGGCTTGCTAGGAGTTGCAGGAGTTGCTGGAGAGTATTGGAGACATTCATTAGTATTCGATTATACGGTTCTCTTCGGACGGACGAGCGAGCGGACGGGGGGGAGAGCGAGGGGACGCGGCGCGCGACATAGGGGGGGTGGTTTACGCACCACCGCCGGCGGCACCGCCATAGGCCTGGATGCCCTTGTCGATAGCGGCGGTGATCTGGTCGATAGACTGTTGAGCAATGCCCTGGCCGATGGCGGGAACCTTGGAGACGATAGCCTGGCCGAGACCAGCAGAGGCCTGCTTCTGAGCGGTAAGTTGCTGGGCCACAACCTGGGAGATACCGAGTTGGTCGAAGGTGGCCTTCTTCGCGATCAGGTCATCAACGGTCGTCGTGGCGGTGCTGGTGAGGTCGGTAGCGAGCTGCTGGAGTCCGAGGGCCTCCTGCAGCTGCAGGGCCTGGGCGCCCTGGATGTCGGTCTGAGCCTTCGTCAACGCAGACTGGACATCTGTGGCGGCGGTCTGGACGGCAGCGACGGTGCTGGCGTCGTTGGCAGCCTGCAGGTTGTTCGTGTTAATCTGACTGATCTGATTTTTATCTGGAGCGGACGCGTGGGAAATTGAGCCAAATGGCTGCTTTTGATCCCGCACCTGCATATGCCCGACGTTGGGATGCACGTACCTTCACAGCGGTATCAAGCTTCTGGAGAGATTGTTGAACGGATGTGACAGCGCCCTGGATCGTCGCGAGTTGGCGCTTCTCGTTCGTGGTCGGGAGGGCAAAGGCCGTGCCGATGAGGGTGAAGATGAGGGTCTTGGTCAGCTGCATTTTGATTCACTATCCAGAGTGATTCTGCTAATACGGTAAGAGGTATTGGATTAGGGAATAAGAAGTAGAACCTTCAAGGTGAATCTCCAACCCGGGAGTATATATGTGAGAGCGTCGAATGTGTCTGTGCCGACAAAGTTTGTTTGGTGATGAGCCTTTTTTATCCCCGAATGACCGCGGGAACTATCAGCATAATATACAAACCGGATGGATGCGCGCTGACCTCATGGGCCACAGGCATGCTCATCTCGTGAGTTCACCTCGGCAGCAAACCACCCTCCTCGATCGAGGCGACGGGGGATGCTGGATGCCAGGCGAACCAGGATGGACACAGCCCCTCCGAAGTCTGAGACGAAAGAAACCATCGAGTGTGGATATTATTATCGCACCTTAGCAGAAGGCAGAGGCAAAGAACGAGCAACGCGCTGTTTTCGGGCGTCTCAAGTGGTTCGACAGACCTCCCTTGTTTGGTGAGCCAGGGGGAGGGCACGGAGGACGTGCCACGTTAGGCCGGTCTCGACAAGTCAGTCGGTGTTCTTGGCCTAGCCGTTGAGAGTTGAGGGGAGCAGCAATAGCTTCCATGGCGTCTCCACGGGGGCCGTTTGACGAATTGAGAATTGCGCCATGTCGGAGGGCCCATCGTGCAGACAGAGTTGGTGTGTGTGAATTTGCGTTGTGTCGTTTGGTGTGGGGGCAGCCAACACAAGAGCAGAATAGTCAGTCGTGCGCGCTTCTTGGTCCAAGTTCAGATGAAACGAAACTCGACCGTGTCGTCTCAGAAGGTCGAGTGCAACTACCCTTTACGAGATCGGCAAGGAGTGCCATGCCCGAGCGGCAACGCTTATTACGGACGTTGTGAGACGTTATTGGGAGAAATTCGTCGGACGGCCCAGGAATGCCCAACGGGTATTGGTGGCAACGTGGGAGACGACAGGGTTGAGGCTCTCATGGGTTTGCCAGTTTCGGCTCTCCGCACTAACGACATCGAGTCAGAGAGTCAAGGAGCCTCAAGCGCGACGACATCTGTCATTCGCCCAACGTTTTTGCATGGATTCTTCGACGACATCGACACATGGCACGCCAGATGACCCAAGCCCAGAGCCCTCAGCCCAGCTATCCACACGCGTCAGTGGAGGCGATGCGTATGGGTTGCCTTAATAGGAAGTGAGGGGGAGAAAACCTTCGCCAGGAGGGTGCCCGTCGGTTAGCCGGGAATGGCCTCAAAACAGGTTCAAACGGGGTCGCCATCTGGATCGCCGCATGGGTTACGCAGGAGTCCTGGCTTAGCTTCATCACGGCTGGCGGCTCACGGCTCACGGCTCTACTCCACGACAGCACTAGATTTAACCTTAGTGTTCTAGATGCCGCTCACAACCGCGCCAAGATGGGGCCATCGAAGTAACCTCCCGGTCCCCCGCGAATAGAAAAAAAGGGTCCCTAGCTAGGAGCTCGTTTGTCCTGGTCTTGACCGGCGATTATAGTCTGGGGGATACGCGGCATCGTCTCGGCTGATTATGGGGAGAGGCGGCGATGATGTCGTATGGCGTAGTAGTCCGGTATAGCATACTGGAACCATCATCCAGCCAAGCTGAATGACACGGATGATCGGCTGGCAGCCACATCTGGCGACGCAGGGCCCTTCGGTTCATCGCCCAAACATCCAACACGGAACGGGGAGAGAAGGATAGCCGGATCACCAGACAAGCGGCTGCCAAGACTTGCGACGTGTTGGCCTAATCGGTTCCTGTCACCCAGGCCCTGTCAAGACGGGCGCCACGCATAACTTGGACCACGTCGCTGAGTTCCCTTTACCCTCCGCCTTCCTAGTTTGGCAACCCATGAGTCAACTCGAGGGCGGATAGTGACAGAACGAGGTTTTGCAAATGGGCAAACGCGGTTTGGTGTCAAGTTGCAGAGTCGCGGAGCTACGGCCATTCCGTTCTCCTGGCGTCGCTGCACAGAAGGCGGGATTTGTTCGAGAAGGAATCTGTCTGACACTTCCTGTTGCCGTGGTGCCGTTCTCAGGCCCTTTCCACCCCTTCTTTCAGCTCTTACGTTTAACAGCAGAGTTGCCGATGCGAGTGCGATTATTCGCTGATTCGGTGCGGCAGCAAGACAGAAAGATGGGTTGACGACTGACTAACTAGCCCTCCCATAAGGCGGACCAGTCCGCGGAATGCGATTCGCCTGTCAGTTGAATGGAGCCTGGGTGGCTGGGGCGCCTGATCGACTCGAGGGTCTGGCATTTTGTGGATATTTGGAAGATCCTTCCCTCGGCCCTTTCGGGTTTCGGCCGGTGCCAGTTGTTTCTCGCATTTCACTTTATTTGACAGCGCATTCCATGTCAAAAGACCGAGAAGGATCGGCCCCGCTACGGCCGGTCATCGGCGGCGTTATCGGTGAAATGCGGGGCTGTCTCTCGAGCGGCCCGGATTCGGTCCTGTAAGTCCGTCAGTAAGCTCGGGAAATCCGCTCGGTGATTTCGTGCAGCAGCGGCGAGACAGAAGCTAGAAGCCAAAAGAGGCCTGTTTTGAGAGAGGTTAAATAGCACAATACCAAGCTTTATTTTCACGCCCGGAAAAGAAGATTAACTACCGCCGCCGCCTTCTATCAGCATCTCCTGTTCGATATTACATGATCACTATTCTGTGTAGTTGGACCTTCGGAATTCAAACAATCGTAATCGCCTAATCGCCATGGCAGCCTGCACTGAAACACTCACGGACCTGGCCTCCCAGCTCTCTGGCATCGCCACTTCGCCCGCCAGCGACGCGGAAAAGAATGCTGCCGCTGCCGGAATCGCCAAGCAGATACTCAAGACAGTCCGAACTCCCTATCCTGATTGGATGGAGAAGGCATTTGCGAATGTAGAGATCACGGCACTGCGGCTTTGCATTGATTGGGGCGTTTTTGCCGCCATCCCGGAACAAGGCACAATCTCGTTCTTGGAACTTGCCAAGCAAGTGAAATCAGAGACATCGCTGATTCGTAGGCTCTTGATGATTAAGCTGCCATCAGAACTCGACGACTAACAATTGTCTTAGGACGCATCTGTTGGGTTCCTATTGCGAGTGGCGTTTTGCGCCAGTATGGATCCGATCAAGTCGGGCACACGGCGCTCTCTCGCCAATATCTCCCAGGAAGCCCCGATGGCCTTCTTCTGTCCATGGTGTGAGTAACACTGCTCCGGCGCCTATCTTCATCGACTAATCCAGTACCTCTCACTTCAGATTCGATGAACACATGCTCCCAGCCTTGAAGCTGCCTGAATACTTCATCGAGTACGGTCGCCGCGAGCCAGTTACCCGTCTCCACACGCCTCATGCGTACAGTCACGGCCAGCCCGACAGGGACATATGGGAAATCCAAAAGGAAAGTCCTGAGCGCATGAAGCGATTCATGGCAGCGATGGATGTGTTGCAAAAGTTCATCCCGTTGGTTGGCATGTACGACTTCAGCTGGGTCAAGTCAAAGCTCGCGGAAGACAAAGATCGCGTCATTCTCGTCGACGTTGGCGGCGGTAAAGGCCACGCCATCAAGGCTATTCTTAACGAGAACCCCTTCATTCCCGCAGAGAGAGTTGTCTTGGAGGATCGCGACGAGATCATCGAGGAGGTGGCCGCATTGACGGAGCCCGAGCTTAAGGGCGTTCAGCTTCAAGTGCATGATTTCCACAAGCCGCAGCCTGTCAAGGGTAAGTCATTGAGTTTCTAGAGATTTCCATCATTCCCGCTGCAGACATTAGTTGACTTATGCAGGCGCACTGATCTACTGGATTCGCCGATGCCTACATGACTACGGCGACGACGTCTGTGTGAAGATGCTAACGCAGCTCTCGGACGCCATGGCTTCGGACAGCAAAGTTCTCATCAGTGAGATGGTTATGTCGAATCCTCCGGATCCCCTGGCCGCTATGAACGACTTTGGCATGCTGGAAATTGGAGGAAAGGAACGGACCGCGGACGATTGGGCAGAGCTGGTCGCACGGGCAGGACTGAAGATGGAAGGAATTCATGGCTTGGACAAGAAGATGCAGGTCATCGAGTGCATCAAGGCATGAGTTGGCGTATGTCAGCACACTGGACGAATATTTTACACGAGGCTAGCGTCGGATTTGATAGAACTCAACTCTTCTTGAAAACTGTTAGCAATCTCCGAGCCATCCAGCGTCCAGCATCGGATAACCCGACTGTTTGGTTGTGCACATCGTGATGGCTGAACATGGCGGATGCTTCCGATTGGAAGATTTGCAAAGAAAGCAATTTGAACATTTTGATCCAATCACTTCCACGAAGGTTAGCTTAGTTCACTAATCTCCCCGCAACATCAACAACGCGTGTCGCGGAGCGGTTCCGCAGGCGCGAAAGCATCTTTTGAATCAACTAGCTTTCCAACCCCAGATTTACGTTTGCCCAAGGTTCAACCCCTGCAGGTCTCTGAGTGAAACATTCTTAAATGGTTGACAAAAGGTAGTTTTCTGCAGCACATGAAGACGAAACCGACATCAAAATGCCCGACCGGATTGTCCAATCAGTCTGAGCAAAAGATTGGATGATCCTGTCATCGTTATCGGTAAGTTTTAGGAGATTTAGCAAAGGATTTGAGAACTATAACCGGGCAGATAACAACGTTACGCAATGCTCAAACTTCCTCGTGGTAAAACGCACGGCTGATGGGAGGCGTGCGTCATCCCCTCTCGGGCATGTCATTGGGTGTTTATACGTCTTATCTGCCAATGGCGAATTGCCTTTATCATCATGCCGGCGGGCCAAAACTATGACAGCCTTGGCCAAGGCTGTTCTCAAACTGCGGATTTATTTCGGCCGAGATGCCCATTGCCCGTAGCTTCAAAACCTGTAAGTTGTAAGATGTCAGATGGTTCAGAGACAATCGGATTGAACCCTGGTTGGTACTTGAGAGATATCTTAGCCCGATCCAGGCTGAGCGATCTTGTTTTGATATCTTTAAACGCACTTGTGATCTGCGTTGGAGTTGTGACAAGCTTTTCGTTGCCATAGCAGTAGTAGACATACAACGACAATCGCTAGTCGAGCGTGTGATCAGTAGCAAGAAGATGTGACAGAATATCTCGTTTCTTATCGCTCTCATAAACAAACTTCAAGTAAGCATTTTGGTTGTGCGGGATCATTGTCTTCGACTTTCAACGTGATGTTCGGAAATCAAAGCAGTCAATCGGATGTCCTTGTATCGAATTCAAGCCGGAAACTTTGATCATTTGATGCGACACCTTGCGCAAGCTTCTTGATGAGTTGTACGTTCGCTCTACGATAGTTGAGGCGACTTTATATTTCGAAGCCTTGAAGTCCGATAACGAATCCTTCTAAACCGATGATACCATTTTAATTGGTGAGAAACCCACTGGTCTTCAGACGTGTTTCTAGTAACACTGAGACTCAAGGCTACTAAGTGTTATTCGAGAGACGTAGTCACATAGACTTGTAGAAGATAGGCAATATTATCACTCTGTCTTGACTCTTACCACCTTGTAGCTATTTCTCGCTATCAAAGTAACTGATATGCAGCAAGCTAAGGAGAGTCCGAAGTGTAGCTTTTTGAGGTTACTTCAGGGGGGGGGGCATGAGGATCTCTGGGGGCGCGTAGAAGGGATACGCTCTGGTAGTTGCGGCGAGGGAAGAATCAGCGTCGAAGGTCTGGTATGATTTGTTCACACTCCAGTATTCCTGAATCTTCTTCCTCGGCCTGCGTTTTCACTGTTCAGGGGCTACTACCATGCGATGCTTCGCTGGGTTCTGCACCAGATGTGATTCATTTTTCAACTACCATAGCTGTCATTAACTCTAGAATTTTGGTCTTCGTAATGAAGACCGTGCGGCACTGTCTTCTTAATCGAACACCCATGGCTGATAGCAGAGTTCTCCAATTGCAACAGTACGCCATCATCTATTTCAATGAATAAAAGCAGCTCCAATTCTGCTGGGAAACCTGCACCGTGTCGAGTGAATCCGGAACACTCTTTTACAAACCTTAATAGGACTCTCAGTTATTTAGCATCAGGCCTATCGGTTATATGAAACTTCACATAATCGCGAGTCTGATGTTGAACGTGTAGCTCTGTTTCCCATACATCTTCCGTTATGGAATTCGCCCGTCTTCAGCATAACTTCTCCCCAAGTTTGGAATTGCCCTTACCGATGCAGAATCTGAGAACTTGTAAGAGTGAAATCGATATAAGCCAAAGACTTCTGCCTCTTTATTTCAGGGACAACTCCCACAGTCTCGTCCGACAGACGCCGCTCGGGCAAGCACAATGATGTGGCCGTTACTTAGTAAGTTACAGAATATTTCGCGGTATCGTTAACTTACTTCCAAATATTTCCTGCCTTTCCCAATGACACACCGTTCATAGAAATCCATACTTCTTTGCCTTACAGGCTTGTGTTGAAAACACAGTTGGCCCGCTTGAAGATGGCTGAGCGTATTATGACTGAAGTAATCAAATCGTGATACGGCACATCCCAGTCGAGGTGCAATACTCTGATTACCTGTCGTCTGAAGTTTTGGCACGGAGTTCTAGGCTTTCCAGTGACAAATCGTTCCAGACACATTCCACCGAAGAAGGAATTCCAGTGAAGCGATCGACGGATAGGGCTGTGTGGCCAAGAATAAACCAACCGCGCGATGCGGCATACCGGGTAACATCTGATATTCCATTAATGCAGCTTCGGAACGCGGCTGGCAATCAGACGAATCAAATATCAGCAAACATTGCTTCGCTGTTTTGTCGCGCGGCAATGAAATATGATTTCGGCGGTTTCCCCATGTGTTTCCGCGATGCGGCTAGCATCCAACGATAGACTTTGCGCATTACGCACGATGAAGTTACCCGTTATGTATTCCAGACATCTCGAACCTGTCAAATGGAACTCTAAGCTTATTCAACGTGACTTCTCGGCAGACAATGGCCCGCTCTGAGATAGGAAAGACTGTCGGGTAGATGGTTCAAGAAGGCGCATATGCGCAACCTTCCCAGTCCACGTTTGAAACATCGAGTCCAGTCTTTCAGTTGATATCTCGTCTTGGTATGGTAGACTGAGCATTATGAACGCGATGCTCAAAGTAGACGTTCACATCCTGCCGGCCCTGCCCCGCGAAGGTAAGAACGGCGTCAGTCATTCACAGCAATAGTCGAGGACGGTTAAGCTGAAGATGCTGGTCTGGGAACAACTATGGGGGACATTTTGAGTGTACCTTCTGGAGAAAAGTTATCTCGCGACAGGCTAGAATGTTTGCCGGCATGCGAAGCACAAATAATACACGCATGCAAAGGATTCATGTCCACAGAGCTTGACTTGGATCAATCTCTGAATTCGGTCTGTGTCTCCGAGCTGCTTTTTCTCCTTCAGCTTGAACGTTGGCTTTATCTTTATCGCTTGATACAGACACGTGCATGTTTCCCTTGGTCTCTGTGAAGTCATCTCGCGACGACTTTCTAACTAATGTTCCAATCCGATCAAGTGCTGTCCAAAATCTCTGAAAGTGATTCTCAAAAGCCTGGTGACTGAGATAGGCGTTGCTTTCCGCAAAAGATAGGTAAGGTACTCGAATCGTGGATACTAGTCCGCTATTGGTGCAGTGTTTGGACTTGTCAAGGCCGGGTAGAAGATTCGAGGCACAACGCGATTATCTGTCTGAAAAATCAGTAAAAACAATATCCAAATCTCTCGCTAGTCTTGCGTGGCATCATCTCATGGTGCCTATCTCTGTGAAAGTTGGTAACCTGGAGTATCATCGTCAAGGCTTTCGGTGCCGATGGCCGAGCTCGGTGGCATCATCCGATTTCCCCTCTCTTATGTTTACGTGATTCGAGCGTCGCATTGTCAATTGGCTGTCTATCATGCAGAGTTTCATGTCATGTTGTCAATGTTGAAGCGATATCGCAGCGTTCGCGATACAAAACGATGACGCCATCTGACAGCTGATAACGTGACGTTCCACCAGGATGGTGACAACCCCAAGCCGGACCTCTCACTGCAGGACAGATTAGGGCATTCGTAAAATCCCCAGACTATCACGACACACGAACGTCGAATAACAGTGGAGGATCTGCGTAAGATCTCACTGTGCCTGACTGTCACCGCTTGTTCCTAGATTGGCTTGCATACGCTTTGATCTGGGGCTGACCAAGCACGCCATTACAAATCAGTATTCGATAATCACAGCCCTTCAACTTCCCCGCGATATAAAGATGGTCTGAAGTTCTGTCGAACCGTCATTGTTTCGGACGACTTCAGCGCATGCACAACATAAACCTTGACCATAAATAAAACCATCATTCTAATCCCGAACCTTCCGACCTCTTCTCCTCCTTCATCATCAAATCCCCCCAATTAAGCAAAGATGGCCACTGTATCTGTCTACGACGCAACCATTCCCACCTTCACCAAGGGTCTCAAGACCTTTCAACACATTCTCACCAAGGCCGAGGAGCACGCCAAGGCCAATGGAGTCGACGTGAACACCTACGCCGAGGCTCGCATCATTGAAGACCAGCTTCCCCTCACCTTCCAGGTGCAGAATGCTACCAAGACTGTCAAGACCAACATCGGCCGTCTGACCGGTGTTGAGCTGGAGCCTTTCGAGAACAAGGAGAAGACGTTTGCGGACTTGCACGCGCGTATCAAGGAGACGCTTGACTTGCTCAGCAAGGTCGACGCCGCCACTGTCAACGCCAAGGCTAGCTCCGAGGTTGAGTTGTGAGTAACCTTGCTGCCGAGCCATATCTGTAATCAGAAGACTGACATGATGTTACAAGGCCTATTTTCGGTGGAAAGACACTTAAGCTCACTGCAACTGAGGCGGCTTTGAGCCATGGCATCCCCAACTTCTTCTTCCACCTCAATGCTGGATATGCTATCTTGAGAGCGAAGGGTGTCCCGGTTGGAAAGGCGGATTACCTTGGTAGCTTTGTTCTTCCTTAAATCTTAGGAGTGAACTAAAATAAAAATTGATGATGAATGGATGGATTAACTCGAATGGTTTCAAACGCTTGCCCATGTCCACGAAGCTAGCCTGCTAAATCAGTCATTGAATGCGACAGTCCTACAGTGATACAGACTGGCGTGTTTAAGATTTCGCCTCTGAACTGTGCAGACTTGTTTGCCACAATTGATTTGTTCGCTGGAGATTTTCCACTCGAGCTCGAGACTTTCAAATAGTTGTTTAACATGAGCGCGGATGGGTGGTGGGTAAAAGTAGTACTGAGCTGACCAGCTGACTTGCGTATTAATAGATAGGCATCTTTCTTCCAGTGCTAGCTAGACTGCGGCAAGCAGTGGCGCGAGACAGGAAAACGCAATAAATGGACAAAAAACAAATGAGACAACTCATCTTGTGATGCTCTTCGACCGACCTGGGACTCGAACCCAGAACCTTCAGCTGTGAAGACCTCCCGATGGGATAGGAGGCTGACGCGCTACCATTGCGCCAGCCGGCCAGCTGTTGCGACATCGGAGCGTTATTCCAATTTCTGAGGGTCGACGAACGAGGTCCACCTCAGCATCGCGAGTTTGTCCCACCAGTGTTGTCCCCGTATTGTCAACTGTTGTGGGGTAATTGTGAGGCTGCCGAGAAGTAGGAAGCAGGAAGCAGTAAAAACAAAACTCAGAATGCAACGCACAAACAATGGGATAGTTAAAGTGAATGTAACTGACAGCACTGCTAAAGAGAGAGAGTTAAACCCAAGATCAGCTGAGTTGCGTTGGTGATGTCAGTGCCCCCGGACAAATGACCGGGGTCCTTCGACTGAATGAGTGAATGCGAACATCACCGACTTGAGCCTTTTCTAATTGGACCGCGGTGCGCCGGACATGCAGAATGTTCTTTCGCCCATTCACTGCCCAGACGTCTTGCATTCGAAATCGATTGAAACGACGTCCACAGCTGACATCTCGGATGAGTCTTGCCCCGAGCCGCAACTAGCTGGCCGCGTCGTCAGCCTTCATTAACAGACGCCGCTAAAAGCTAGAAAGGCTAGGGGCGCCTTAAGGCGCTATGGATGCACATGCCAGGGGCACTGTCAGCATAGCGTTGCATGGCCCAAGACATCAAAAGCAGCGGCATTCCTCCTTATTTAACATGATTGCTGGCTTCTTCCCAAAGTCTGCGAGTCATTAGGTTGCTTCCTCGGTGCTGGATTTCCTCAAGCGTGCAAGTAATCAAGGACGATGACCCGCTGATTGCGAAGAGCCCAGCCTGATTATTGACATCCGTACCACTGTTATCACCGACCACACCGAAAGGACACGGACACAGCCCGCGAGCCAGGCATTGCTACCGAGAATGTCACATCGGTCAAGCTACATTCACCGGGGAGCCTCGGATCGGGATGATGGCATTGATGCCCGGCAATGAGGACGGACAATGATTGTTACTCCTGGATCACGCACACACGGCACTTGGACGGTGATTGCGAGATGACGCTGAGCATACTGGTCTAAGATGAGCAACAATCAGTGCCGAACAACAGCAATTACAACGGATGCGCTACTGGAGCTTCGCGCAGTGCCGTAACTTGCTTACCACCGCACTTCTTCAGGATATCCCGGCACTCTCTTCAGTAACAATCAGGCACCAACCACTCACCAACCGTTTACCAACATGGGTGTATTGAACCAGCGGATAGAAGCAGCATTTCTGCACGTATTTAGTGCGATTGCAACTTTACGGAGTTCGGTGTCCTCATTCTACCGCCGCATCCATCGCAGGGTGTGTCCATACGCATGTGAGAAATGACGGAGGGCAGCAGATGCGTCCCAAGAAACAACCGCCGTATCCCGTTGTAATATTTGCAAATCCGACCTCAACCAAGATCCGTCCAATTGACCAAGCAGGATTGGACAGTGGAGTTGGGCAACTGCAAGCAGGGCAAATAATGGAGCAACCCGTTTCGCCAGCAAGCGACTCTGTGCGAGATAAGCACCATGCTGCGTCTCGGCTCGCTGCCTGCGACCTTATTACTCTACTCAGTGGGAACATCTCCGCAGGTCCGCCATGGATCGTCGCTTTCGCGATTCAACGAGCACCCTGCCAACTCGTGATTGATTTACAATCGATGAAGCAGGAACCACATCTCCGTGTCTACACCTTCCAGAGTCGCCAATCCGCGATTGCTTCAGTTCATGTATCGCACGTGGGCCCAAGGGTCTTGGTCGAACCCCGTCCTGGGCAGCAGGAACAGACGCCATCACCAGTCCTGACTCCCACGTTCTGATCCGGGGAGCGACTCATTCACTTCACAATCACACAGCCATCACAGCACACTGCCCCTCACCTGCGGAGCCGTACCAGCTTGATTTGCAGTCACGTTTGGCCACCGGTGCGACATCTCAGGCTGTTTCAGATACTTTTGAACCAGAAAAATCTGGTGATTTCAGAGTCATGTGCAAGAGGGGTTAAGCGATCCTAACCACGGAGGACTATCGCGAATTCGATTTCATGAGACCAAACACGGACATCATGGCCATCCCAGATTGTCAACGCTCGTCTGTTTGCCACAGTCCACACACCGTTCTCTTGACAACTTAGCCGTTGAACCCTTGACGGTGCGGCCCGGATGCAGGATTCAGACGGTGTGTCGCTTTGACCTCCTTCGCCCGTTTTTCCTCGTGAGGCTTTTTGAGAGAGAGCAAGGACGGGCTTACATCGGAGCGCAATGTCCACCAGAAGAAGCTTGCCTCGCGAGATCTGGATACTCATCCGACTCGCCCAATAGTTTGTATATCGTCATCCGGTGTGATTGGGCTTGCAGAGGATCAGTTCTACGACGCCATGCAACTGTCACCATCTCATTATGATGGCCACGAGATGCCCTGTGCACACACGCTTGCAATCCGAGTGGGATGGATGGCATTGAACCGATGGAGATGAAGTGAGCGATATGGCAGCAAACAACAACGAACATGATGGCCGTGCACATGCCAGACATCATGTCCTTCGATAGGCGACAGAGTCAATGGTAGGCGGGGTAATCGCACCCCTCCTTCACCAGGTGCTCTCGCCATGCTTTGTTCCATTGATGGACGATAAAGTTGCCCCGAGAAGCACATTGGGAACAGCAACACTATCTGCAGTAACGCAGAATTGGAGCATGACATTTTGACACCAGGGCCGTGCCCCTGTGCCAGCAGCAAAGAGGCGCATGTCATCACATCATGGCGTCCGGGCAGGCTTGAAGAACTGCCAATAAGTCCGCCGATCTCGAGCTGTGACGAGCGCCACTGATCCATCAGCGGGCAATGGGCCAAAGTTTATTCCCCATGCGACCGCTGTGGACTGTCCTCAATGGGGGATAGTATCACCAAGGGTCCTGGGCAACTGGGCAAGATTATCAAGATTCTCGCTGAAGAATCTGTTCTCATTGCCCGAAGAAAACAGCGTTGGTGAAGATTGACCGTGTCCGGCCAGTCGTGCCGAGGACAAAGTGCTTTGCGCTCAGACCTTCGTCCTCCATTGCGTGCCCTGAATGAGAGTCATTCGATGGCATGACTTACAAGACCCTAGTCTCACACGCCAACAAGGTAATCCCCGACGCCAGTTTGGGAGGCTAGAACCACTGAACCAGCGCCAGTCCTGCCACTTGTTCGGCTTGAGTCGCCGAAGTTGCCCAGTTGAGCGCCGCCAGCCAGTACCGTCGGAGGCGTTAGAATTCATAGCCGTCTGGACGTTGAAACTCGATGCGCCTTTCTCCCTCTCTCTCAAATACCTGCGAGTTCTGGGTCCGGTTAGACGAAGCCCCAGTCCAGAAACGACCCTCAGCCCGCTTGCAGTGCCGCATCGTGGAGCAACCCGCGCGCGTTTATTGTCTCCAGCAGTGAAAGTCCGCCGTCCGGCCCGTAGTGTTAGACGCTGTCTCTGTTTCACCCGATTCCGGCCACCAAAGTCTGTCCCCGGATCAGATGAACAATAGCGTCTTTGGAGGACCATCAGCCTTGTTTTAATCCTCACCAAACTCTGCTATTAAGCAACAGAGTGCCTACCGACCAGCCCATTTCCATTTGACTTCCCGCCAGCGACGATCGTCGATACAGAATACCACCAGAGTCGCGCTCTTGGGACGTCCCTATGCGAGTCAGCTATGACCCTGAGAAAATCCCCGCGATGCTCGTCAAGTCTCCTCATTTCACCGGGCCTCGGAATGGGCTTACCCCGGCCGCTCTCCAACGGCTAGCAGGGACGGTATGCAACTACGGACACCCGCGGGTCAAGGTCGTCACCATGTCTAGACGGCCATCATTGGGTTATCTCGTCAACACACAGACGTCTTGCTCCAGCTTGATGGCAGGCCACCAAGTCCACCAAGGCCCGCTCCATGTCGAGACCCATACTTGCACATGCCAGGAGGTGGTCTGAGACACCACGAGTCTCTCTATCGGTGATACTGAATCGCGTTCACCTTCCTCCAAGAAGGCAAAGATGCCGTACCAAGATGGCCCTGGCTCGTGGGAAGAGGTAGATGGATGCGCCGTCACCATGCCAGCGTAACGGGAGATGACCGTCCTATATGCCGCGACCAAAATAATACCGTTGCGTCCCTGGAACCCTAGGCGCATTGCTGACAAGCAGTGCTGCAACACCGCAGACCGTCCACTGCCCGGTGCTGCTGCCACCCTCCTCATCCCACATCCCGCCCGCAAGAGAGCGTGGCCAAGGTTCATCTAAACGTCAAAATCGATATCAACAGCTTTCGCGCCGCCGCGGCGAACGGCTGTGTTCCGGTGGGGGAACGAGACATCCAATTCGACAGGTCCGAGTAGTCGTAGGTAGTGTCGTCGCTCAAAGGGCCAGTCCATGTGGCATCGTCCAAATCCACCACCGTTAAAGACGCCCCATTGATTCTCGCAACATGTCTTACCGTGCGCACGGTTCCTGGCCATCCCCAAAGGCTCCAAAAGGCAATCGACCAGAGGAGGATCCTTGGGAATAGATCCGTCGATCCCTACAGACGTTCCCCACGTTAGACCCATATGAGACACGGAATATGGCAAAACCTGGCGGGCCTCGAGTTTGCGCTCGTTGTGGTGTAGCACTCTTTGCGGGTTTGCCTCGTGTGGTGTAGTGTCTCACACCCTCTATCCTTTCTTCCCCTTTCCCAGACGTGAGTGAGATCCGGGTCCGAACCAAATCCTTTGATCCAGGAGAAACCCCGTGGCCCGGGCAGAAGATAGCCAAGCTTCGTGGATAAAGACAGGCCAACGTCCTCAGTGACTTGTCATCCCATTGTTTCCCCGTCCGTCTATCCCACCGCCACGTTTATGTTCGTTCTGCCCATCGCCGAGCTTGACTAGCGCAAACCATATAGACGAAACCAGATATTTGCATGCCAGACCCGCCACAGCTGCTTTCGCTCACGACCTGGTCTCTTCCTTTTCTTCACCTCCTCCCAGGACTCGCCAGTGCTTGCTAGAGCGTCACCAAAGCAAGCATCATGGAGGCTCCTCCTGGTATCAACCCGAACGATAGCCGGCAAACACTCATCATCGGCGTCACATCATTTGTGCTCTCAGTCGCCTTCCTCGCCGTAACGATACGAACATACACCCGAGTCTTCCTGCTTCGACAGTTTGGTATCGATGACGGTGCCGCTATCTTCACTTTTGTGAGCAATCATCCTCGGCCTTCACATAGCCTCAACATCATGCTCATATCATGTGCTAGTTCTTAATATTTGCCTGCGGCTTCTCTGTTGCGATAAGTGAGTAATAGTCACAGCTGTTGTTTCAACTCTATTGCTGACTCCTTGAAGACACGAGAAATGGTTTCGGCACGCATGTCTACTTCCTCAATGAGGATCAAATAAAGTCCTACTTGAGGGTATGATATTCACCAATCCTCGATAGTTGGTTGGGACAGACTTCTAACAGTTCACAGACTTTCTACATCACAATCGTCTTTTACAATGCCTCTCTTGCCGGCATCAAGATGACCTTCCTCTTCCAGTACTGGCGCGTACTTGCCATCCAAAAGATGAAGAAGGTCTTCATCGCCGCGATGATTCTCGTCGGAGGCTGGAGCATCTCACAAATCCTCGTCGAGATCTTTATCTGCACTCCTATTCCCACTTTCTGGGATAAGGACGTAAAAGGCACCTGCATTCCTAACTACCCCCAATGGTACATCAACGCCGCAGGAAACATCATTACCGACCTGCTCGTCTTTGTATTGCCTCTCCCAGTCATTGGCAACTTGAAGCTCGCTCCTGGCCAGAAGTACGTTCTGGTCGGTATCTTCTGCCTTGGATTCTTGTATGTGCTCCAATCCCGGTGGTGATACCATGACAATATCTAACCGTATCGACAGCACATGCGCCATTTCTTTTGTCCGAATCCGATTCCTCCACCAAGCTGAAGACTTTACCTGGGAAAACGTCGAGACAGCCGGTTGGTCTGTCGGCGAGCTCTGCTGCGGCCTGACCTGCGCGTGCCTCCCAACATTCCGCCCTCTTGTATCGAAGTTCATCCCCGCTCTTTCAAGCCGCATCACCAAGTCCTCCAAATACCAAGGACAATACGCCTACGGCTCCAGCAGAACAGCCGGCACCTCAAAGCACCGGGATGTCGAGCTTGCCATTACTCCGCCTCAGGGCAGCACAGGCGGCAGCCCGAACCGCTACTCAAAGCGAAGACCCGACTCCTCCGATAGCAAGGCCGATCTTTACGGCGCTGCGAGCTACGACCTCAGCCACACCGATTCGAGCCGCAACACGCCGCTGCCGATTCAAGGCACTAACCAGACGGATAGCGAGAGCGTGCCCTCGCCGATGATGTTCCGTCAGCAACAACACGATACGATAGATGTTGGTGGATATGGGGCTGACCAGACTCCGATGGTGGAAACGCACATCGAGGCGGGTCGGAGGTATTCTGGGCCGGTGAGGAAACCGTCGGGCCCGATTGAAGTCCAGCATGACATTGTGCAGATTTCATCACCAAAAGTCGTTGAACCGAAGGGATTTTCATGAGCGTAGCCACTGGCGGGCGGTTCGTGTGTTCACTTAAAATATAATGTCAATGAGCTATTCCATAATCAATATGTGTCGATTATGAAAGTCTCGTTGGCTCTTGGGAGTTATTGGCGCCGGGTACTTGAACTTTTTTGATGATACCATTATCTTCAGACCTACGACGCAGGTCCAGAATTCTTCACCTAGGACAGGAATAGTTAGTTTTCTAATGAACACTTCTCTTCTGATCGTCAATTGCATTCATCACTCGAGTCCTTGCGCGATGCAACCTCAACACATTAGACTTTTGAAGGGGATGTTATGGATTACCCGCAGCGGGAACCAGTGTGCGGGAAGTTTATCGACCATGCCCTGCCAAGCCCCCTGCCACGACTCTAGCTTCCTTCATGTTAGCAAGGGCTCTCACGATCCAACTCGCCACAATGTCTTGCCTTCTGGCTGGGCAGCTGAGAGGATGCATTGTCAGGTCAAGTTGATAAATCTTTTCAGTAAATCTGTCTCGAGCCTAGGAACTCTGGTTGCATTTTATTACTCGCTGACATCTGTGGCGAAGCTGGTGAAAGATCGTGAGCCGTTTCACGTCGCAGCATCGTCAAGTACGCCTGAGCAGCGGTGCCTTGACACGCGGGTAAGGCTGGAGAGGGACGCAGATCTGGCAGGCCTCCAATAGATATAACGAATTCCAATAAGTTCGTGTTAGTAAGAGCAATCATATCAATGGTGCGATTGATGGGCACATTGGTGGGGAGCTTTAAGATGCTGAAGACGTGGTGAGCCAAGTGTGACGCCCCTGCATGAACATCGTCAGGGGTTCATGCGAAGGTTTGCAAGGCCTCGTTTTCTGCCAGAAACAAGTTCCAATGCTACACTCCCTTTTTGAGTATAACGCGAGACTGAAGGAGAGACAAAACAGCCAATTAGTACAAAAAGGATGATTCTCCCCTGCTGGCTTTATCGATGTCAATTCGAGGACAGCGACGTGCTTGTATGCTCAGTTGAGAGCCGACATCCTGCATTCTACAGAGATCTGCGAAGAAACATTTGATAGGAGACTTGTATGACTTGAACGGGTTTCTACTATAGGGGTTTTAATTTTTTTAACACGCATTATACGGCAGGGGAAAAGCGTTATCAAGCTTGGATTACGAAAACACAATTGTGAATTCTGGAGCGTCTCACCTCTTTGAGGACTACGATGATTCCCTCAAGCAACTGCAAGAGAGCATCTATGGGAGAGTTTGTGAGCAGTCGTCATTTCTGGAATAGGATTGATTAACATCATTTGCTATTTGATTAGTATGCTTCTTGATTGATCCGCTGTGGAACATACTGTCATCACTTGTCACAGAGGCGAATGGAATAATCGAGAGTGTTGCTGACGGTGTCATTCCAGGGATGGATTATGCAAAGACTGTGGGACTTCATGCACTCCACCTTTGACATGAATGAATGCCAACAGGCTGAGAGCGATTGTCCTGGATTTGAATAGACGTGTCTGCCCCCCGGCTTTATGGATAGACGCAGACATGATTGGCCCTTCGTCTCGCAACTCACGGCATATCAATCGGCTCACTGCCGAGGCGTCAGCACTTGTGCAGAGCTTATGTGATACTGTCACCTCAACTGCATGATGGCATCGCGGTAATCCTCATACGCCGCGACTTCAAGGGCACTTTGTAATGACAAATGGGTCGACGATCAACGGTCGCGCATCGAGCAGTTACATTGCATTTCCCCAGCCGGAATTCGCCCCGTAGATCATTGGTTGGCTGCATATGGGGACCAACAGACCTTCCTGCAGCTTATGGTTCTGCGTTCCAAAAAGTGGCTCTTCTGTCGTCTGATACGAGCACTCGGACAAAAGACAGGTGGAAATTCTCCCTTGTCTCTGCGTCCGTCCTTGCATAACGCAACGTTAGCTGTCCGAATGCTTTACCCGCGGTGAGAGATGATAGGTTTGTGATGAGGGGCGGCTGGTTCAGGGCTATCGTAAACTGCCAACAGAGTGTTTCGGAGGCAGCCGCTGTGTCAAATCTTGGCTGCATACAATCTAGAGCGAAGTAATCACACATGAAAATGCTGAATGGTTTATCTGGGCCAGTCTCCCCGTGTCTTTCGACTCGACATAGCTTACCGCACTCTTTGGTTAGTGTCACTCGTCATGGCTTACACGTTCTTTATTCCGCTGGCTATCCTTGCCATCATCGTCTTTAAACTGCGAAATGTTGGAACACGACCCAAAGATTACCCTCCTGGGCCTCCCACATTACCTTTGATTGGGAATTTGCATCAAATGCCCTCAGCTCAGCCGCATCACCAGTTCAAGAAGTGGGCAAAAGAGTATGGGTAAGTTTCACAATTGAAAAGGCGCGTTGGACCGATGTTCTCCTAACCACAATATTTTCGGCAGCCCTGTGTACTCCCTCATCCTGGGAACCCAGGTCATGATTGTGCTCTCTTCAGACAAGGCGGTCAAAGATCTTCTAGACAAGCGCAGCGGCATATACTCGTCACGCACCGATGTCTACCTTGGAAATGTAGTCAGCAACAATCTTCGTGTGGTTCTCATGGTAAGTTCAGGTCGCCGATGCAGAGAAATTATGGGCTTCAAATACTGACAGGTGAAAGAAATACGGCGAGCGATGGCGCATGATCCGAAAGATCTTTCATCAGGTTTTACATATCAGCGCGGCCAAGGGTTATGTTCCGTATCAGGATCTCGAGAGCAAGCAGATGCTTTCTGGCTTTTTGGACGAGCCTGGTCTCTTCATTGATCATATTCGCCGATTTACCAATTCTCTCACCACACAGATGGTGTTTGGCTTTCGAACGACGAGCATCCATGACGAGAAGTTGAAGAAGCTGTATCACTGCGTCGAGAAGTGGAGTGAGGTCGTAGGGTCACAGACAGCCGCTCTCCTCGACGTATACCCGCCTCTGCGGAATCTGGGCTTCATCTCTCCTGGAAAGAGATACGCCGAGGCGCTGCACAAGGAAGAAAGCGCTCTATACGTTGGTCACTGGTTGGATGCAAAGAAGCGCGTTCTTCAGGGAACGGCGAAAGTGAGTCCCAAAGGTTTTACATGCCGCACAAAACCCACAGACTAATACTCAGTAGCCTTGCTTCTCCGTGGGAATTGTTGAAAGTCAGAAGGCGCTAGGATTTTCTGATGAGCTGGCTGGATATATCTCCGGTTCTGCTCTTGAGGCCGGTTCAGATACGACCGCTGCAACACTGGTCGGTTTCATCCAAGCCATGGTTCTGTACCCTGCTGCACAAAAACAAGCTCAAGAGGAACTCGACCGGGTGTGCGGCACTCAGAGACTCCCGAATGTAGATGACTGGGACTCAATGCCATACATCCGAGCTTGCGTCAAAGAAACTCTGCGATGGATGCCAACTGCGATTCTCGGTCTGCCGCATGCTGCCATTCAGGATGATGAGTACATGGGCTACAAGATTCCCAAAGGGGCTGGCGTTATGCTGAACGTTTGGGCTATCAACATGGACGAGGATAAGTTTGAGGACCCTCGAGCTTTCAACCCGTCTCGGTACGAAGGCGACGACCAGAACTCATTCGAGTCGGCGATGAATGGCGACCCCGCGAAGCGTGACCATTATGTGTTCGGGGCTGGGCGTCGCCTCTGCCAGGGCATGCATATCGCCGATCGATCGCTATTCTTGAGCATTTCGAGGCTGCTATGGGCTTTCAATCTTAACAGGGCCGTTGACGACAAGGAGACCGAAATTGTACCAGATGCGGACAATCTCATCGACGGTTTCTTGGTGCAGCCGAGACCCTTCCCTGCAAAGATTACACCGAGGAGCGAGGCTCATGCGGAGATCGTCCGCAAGGAGTGGGAGGCGAGCCAGGCGCTCCTTGACGAGAGTAAGCAGTGGAAAGAGATACCTCGTGGAATGGTGTTTGAGTCACTGGTTTCGACAGAGAAGGAATAGTGGAACTCCTCGAATACTACCGGCACTGAGCGGCATCCAATTACATTATTCATGAAAGGATACAGACGGTCATCGCAAGGCTATCACGGTCAATTATTGAAAGACTTTATCTGTTACATTACGAAATCTAATTCATTGGATCTACGTTATTGCGCTTGCGCATGACTCAACTTCAGCTCTGGACCTAGATCAGAGTCCACGAAGCGGACCTTGTAGAGTTTGGCATGCTCATCCATCTGCGACAGCCCATCCGCCTCTCTCAACTGCTCCCTTGACTGCTTATCAAGCCCGTGTGCCAACCCTGCTAATGAGCTTCCTCTCCACGCAGGAAGGCCTAGTCGTTTTGTTTCCACTATGGACAGCAGACAGAACAAGCATCCCCCTAGAAGAGCCGCAATTGGTAGAGATAGAAATCCCCATTCGACTCGGATGAACACTATCCAATTCTGGGTCTCGCCTTCATTAGGCTCGGTTTCCAGAGAGAGGTCGCGTATGTACTTTGACATGCTAGCTGCCACTGTCTCAAAGGTGGCCGTAAGGTTCTTGGATGTACCCAAACTGTCTATCACATGAGGTTGACTGGTAGTTCCAACCGTTCCAACTGCAGGATAGACAAGCTGCTTCGTTGCCAGGGGGCTTGCGCGGCGCGCGAACTCATTCATAAACAAGCCTGTTATAGACTCGGCGGCATTCTGAGAGATGTTGAACTTCAAATCCTGTCCAACGTCCAGGCCTGTAGAAGTGTGGTAGTGTTCCTTTGAGATGAACATTTGCAGGTCGGTTCGGTTCATGTCCGTTTTGCCATGGTACAGGGTGTAGCTGGTATTTGCGTTGTACCATTTTGAGCTGGCTGCATACTGGGGATCCTTTGCAAGGAACGAGTCGAGATTTCGATCCGTGTATGTTCCGAGAATTGTTTCTCGCAAGTCGCCTTGGACAATATCTGACTGGTAAATGTTGGTGCAAAAGTACAAGGCGCATTCTTGTGCAGAGACACTGCTGTCTTCCCAGTGCTGACCATTCTCGCGAAATTCCTGGTTTGCTCCCATCATTGCAAAAGAAACAATGAGGGTCTTGAAGTCCTGGAAGGAAAGCGTTTCCGATGGTTGAGACGTGGCTTTGGCTGTCAGCTCTGTATTTGTGAAGCCCAGATCCTTGCCCTGTATAGCTGCCAGACCTGCCGATTTAATGTTGGAGATGTTCATCTTCAGCTCTTTGATGTCGTATCTGGTGTACGTTGTGTTGATGTTAGGTACCGCAATCGGAGAGAAAGAGGCGACGTGGTTGACCATGGTCAGAGTGTCATCTTCCGCTCCCACGCTCACATTGGTTTTCCCATTTGACTTGACTATATGTTTTGATATGTCATTGCAAGCGCTGCATACTGCCAAAGATGCGTATGGTGTCCAAGTGCAGTTTCCGGAGGAGCAACTGAACGATGGTGTTTGTGCTTCCACCGATCCCAGAGTCGAGAAGCCTGACCATATCGAGGCCAGAGCACCGAAATCATATTTCGAAAGCATTGATAGGCGCATTAGTGTTCCATCGGGCGTTGATATGCCTGTTGCAGCTCCTGTGATAGCGGAAAAGGATCCGATGTCCAGTTTGCTAGACTTGCCAATCGTTGCCTTCGAAATGGGATCCGCTACCGATACTTCTTTGCCCTCGAAGGTAATGATGGCCTGAAGAAAAGGCTCGAAGCCAACTAAGACCACGGTTGATAGCGCGCCTAGTGCCATCCAATGCCTAGCACGATGTCAATTTCACTTGGATAAGAGTGGCCGAAAACGCCATCATACCTCAGTCTTGACCACCAAAGCAATCTAACTCCGCCCCATGGTCCCCTGCTTGCCTCCTCGAAACGATCGAACACCATGATAGTGTCGTCTCTCCGCCGAAACCAGTTCCATTTCCCTTGACTGATGCAAGCACTGACTGCGAACGCAAGTGTTGCTCTCGATGTTGCCCCCAGAATTGAGACGACTGTGTTGAAGGAGTACTGAAACGACCATGTCGACAAGGGTTTGTTATTGTAGAGAGGTAGGAGAATGGCGATCGCTGCTAGTGCCAGGATACTCAAAATAACCGCACATATTTCGAGGATCCAATGATACTGACTGCCTGGCAATGCTGCACTTGCCTTCCGCAGAAGGCTCTGTTTCGAAGTTGAGGCTCTGTTGTCTACCCCCAGCCCGTAGTCACCTGGCTCCGAAGACGCGAATGAGGTAAGCCGCGCGACAGGTTTCCTCTTGAACTGAGGCGAAAGAGTTGATGAATCGTAGGTGCTGTCGAGGTTGTCGGAGCGTGAGATGTGTGGCTGTTCGAGTGGCGAATGGTATCCGGTAGGAGTGTCGCGCATCTCAAAGGACTGCATTGAATGGTCGCGCATCGGATCCCTTGGTGTTTTCCACATCGTCACTCCATTTGCAACGGTCTATCTGCACAGCTCGTGAGTTTACCATAATGATGGGGGAGGTAAATCATTTTAAACGACCACCGCATGCCCTAAATTAAGACATGACACTTCGGACTTCTAGCCTCTCCTGTGAGATTTTAGCTAGCAGTCTAGCGTTACACAATACCCCCTCTTGGCAGGCTTCCGCGAAATGGAAGCATTTGTTTGGTCAGCGGTTCTGTTAGTGTGGCGGTGAGTGCCACAGCATCGGAAAAAGCAATGTTTCTACACCAACCGAGCGTCGGGCAGCGATAGCACCGCCGCACTATTTTCGTAGAAATTATCTCGTTGCCTATTGGATCACCAGAGGCTGAAGTCCGAGTTCTCGTTTCCTTCTGGAGAACCCTCAGAACATAATAAGCAGAGCTATGCTTTTCGCAATCCGTAACACGGTGGAAGCCATCAGTCCCTTCATCCTGTCGTGAGTCAAGGGGATATGGTCGTTATTATGTACTCGATATTAAGGATGTTGATACAGATACTACTCTTTCATTGGGTCCATAGCCGGCTCAAGCCCTTGGTCCTCCCTGGTCATAAGTCATGTGGAAATCCGTCGTCTTCCGTATCGCCCTTGCGTCCTCGAGGTCTTCGCTCCTCCTCGCACTACTCGGCCCGCTGTCTTTTGGTATAGACTGGAGGATGTACTCCTCACTCGAGTCGTCTCCTAGTCTGGATCGGTTTGCGTGGACGCTCGTGAGGTGGGTCGCCGTCTTCTCCTCTCGCCCTTGATATGGGTGCCAGTCGTTGCGGCTGGTGCCGGCATGCGTGAAATTTCCCTTGCTCGATCGAGGCGCTGAGCCATAGCCCGAGCTGCCGTTTGAGGACCCTTGCTTGGATGCGAAGATGGTAGGGAAGATGTACGTCAGGGGGAGCCGGCACATGGGCAGGCAAGCGCAGATGATTGCCAAGTTGTCTTCGATAAGAGTCCAGAGGGTGGAAGCAATATCGACTGTGCATTGTAAGTCAGTATATTAACGCCAGAGTTTGGCATTCAACAGTCAAGTGATGACCTACATGTCGTATCAGGACTGGTAGTGGAAAAGTCCAATGTCGTCATGCGCAGAATACTCGTTATCGTGACGAACAAGCCGAGAGCAAAGACAACCATGAGCGCCTTCTTTTGATTTATCGGAAGCTTCGATTTCCAGAGCACATGCTGGGGCAGCGCCATGATGAGGATATCGGTTGCGATAGAGAAGCCCGCATTGGCGTACCAGTTCATGGTGAGACTGATGCAGGTTCCGGGGATGGTCTTGTCCCAAGCACGTGGGATGGGGGTGCACTGCCAAATGGACGACGCCGAGGTCGCGACCATGTACGCCAGGATGATGCTGAGGAGAGTGTAGCAGAGTATTCGGAAATATCTTTGTACAAAGATGCGCAGGTACAGAAGCAGGATAGATGCCTTGGTCAAGTTGATAGTGATTTTATAGAAGATTTGGGCGACATAGAAGAGCTGATCAAGGTTAGATGATATTCATACTGGTCGATCTTATGTCACTCCGATTCCATTACTGGAGGCACTCACCTTCAATGTCATGATCTTGTTGGGCTTGGAGAGGTTCTTGATATGTTGACCAAAGCCATATTCGCACGATACCATCATCAGGATTGAGACAAGTAGGCAGCAGACCTAAATCATATCAGCTAAAGTGACCGCGAAGGACACCAGATAAAACTCACAAATGAGAACAAGATCGTCCAGTCATCCCATCCTAGCCCTGATCTCATCTTGATACGCGACCAGAACCGAATCCCGACGAAGATGGGCGTGAGGACGAAGAAGATGATAGCCGGCGCGCGGACCATGAGCGCATTGCTCTCGCCAGGAATGTTGCCGTCGACCATGGTGAACAATATGCCTCGATCAAGCAAAGTCTGTTCGACAGTGTGCTGAGGCTGGCAGACCTCGAAGGGTCTGATCTGCGAGAACGAATTCCAGAGAGCAACAAACGTCCAACATCAGCACAATCCGAACGGCCGGGATGGACGGGTCCTGGAGAACGGGTCTAGTTATATGTTCATGCCCAGGATGCCAGGCTCCTGCCACAACATTCCACTTGGGAGGGGTGTCTTGGTTTGACTTGCAAGAAAAATGGCCGTCCGTCTGGGCCAAGTATTCGGTAGGCATCCGGAGCGTTAGGGACGGACGGACTTTCCATTGGGTGGTCATGGCAGGGAGGATCCCTTCTCCATGCTGGTTGTCAGGTACATGTGCGCGTCCTCAGTAAGCTTCTTTTCTTTTCTTTTGCTCCCGGCTCTGCAAGGGAGACGGAGATGATGGTGGTGGCATGCAACGGCTTGTCAATCTGCAGACTACTGCAGCGCCGTGAGGGGCAACAGTATCGGCGCCGAGAAAGTAGGAATCGGGCACATGTACGATGAGCGTTTGGTGATGGGGAGAAAGGGGCGGGCTGGGGGGCAGATGGATGCTGAAGATGCGAGGAGATGTGCAAAGAGCGGACGGTACTGAGATTACCGATCGCGAGAGAACGCGGGAGAGCCACCTTGGAATCCCTGCTCGCTGCGGTTAAAAGGAAGGGCCAGCATGGAGATGGGTACGAAAGAGAATGGCCCCCGAAGTGTTCGGGCCAGAGTCCGAGCCGGCCTGAAGCTCCCACCACCATCAAACATCCGACTTTGGAGCACTTCAGGTTTCGGCGTTATCAAGATGTCGTCAAATGAAGACGGTCCGCTTTTTGCAGAGCGATAGCGACCTTGCAGCAGCATGCGTTTTCTCCTCGCGGCACTATGTTTTGATGCGAAACAAGATTGTGGTTCGACCCAATAGTGAGGCGTGAGTTGGGGCTATCACTGAACATCCGGGCGGACTTTGAACGAATGAACAAGTAATATTCGTCCAAAATGACCATGCACGAAAGAAGCAGGCTGCACACCACTGTAAGGGAGGGTGGGCAGTCGAGATTTCAAGTCGAGAGACGTGCGACGAACCTGTTCCTGGCAGTGATAATCCTTCATTCAGCTGGCTTGTTCTCTGTTTCCAGATACCGTCCGGTGTAGCACGGTGGTGACTGGATATCGGGTTGCTGGACGATAGAGGCTAGACATCCCCTTGCAGAGCGGTAAGCCATTACCCAACTCGATCGTCGGTAGAAGTCTTACCACGAGAAATGAGGCGCACAGTGGTTGCGCTATTGATGCTGGTCTGGCAGGGTCTCAGAAATGGCGTGGATGAAATTTCTTCTCTTACTTCAGCTCTTCGTCAGCTGTTCCGATCCTCCGCCACCATGTCCTAAAGCCCCGAGTGTCTTCTTCTCGGAGGCCTAAAGGGCTGACGACTCCAGTTGTCTGGGCCTAGGAATTCATCAGATGAAGGCGGGGGTGACGGGACTCTACAGCGGAGCTGTTCCAACCGCAGTATTGATGAGCCGATGCGGCGCAGGTGATTCTCGCGAAGAGGGGGGTTTTCCATTGTTGGCAGGGCCCGGAATCCTCTTACTTCCGCAGAGTTTTCACGAAGCTTTCCGCAACATCTGTTGGCGACGCTGGTCCGGCAGCGGTCGCACATGTCAGATCTCAGTAAGCTGCTCGAACACATCGACAGCTGAGGCTGACATCTTCGAACATTGCGCGCCATTGTCTTCTCTACAAGGCATGTAGTTCATCTTGGATGAACTTGACGATGGCAGGGTACCATCAAGCATAGTTCGTTTAAAGTTCCCGCCGTATCCGCATCGCCCGAAGACCACCAGTCTGTGCGCCCTGAAATCATTAACAGCTGAATGCTAGAGCCCTAATATCGCATCCGATTAGTGTGTTGTGGGCGGCGGAGGGCTGAGTGGCGCCAACGTCCGGTGCGCATTCCCGCTCCCGCGAAGTCTGTACGGCGGGTAGCCAGCCCGTTCATTGTCGTTGCAGCCGAAGAAGCCGATTGAGATCTCACACCCGAGGAATAGCTCAACGATAGTCACAGCCACTTCGGAGGAATTGAGATGGATTATAGGTGTGCATGAAAGCAGTATAGGTCAATCAATACCACCTACCTCTGGAAGCAGGCTCTTCGCATCTATTACGTCTATTGGCGATGAGCGACCAATTGCTTGGCCACCTTGATGCGTTCATGGTGAACTTCAATAACACCTCGGTCAGCGACCTTGCTCGGACTTGGGCTTCCTCTCTCGGAAGCGATGTTCACCAACATGCGGTGTGGTTTGCGCGGCCCGCATGAGGGAGCCTTCAAGGGTGTTTCTCTCTTGGCATGACATGTCCTTTTGTCTTCATTTCTCGTCTGCTGTTCTCTCGGTGCTGCAGAATTCAGGGCTGCGAATCCTCCTCGTCTGTCCTTCCCTATCGGGCCACCGGCGATGCAGGTGACGAAGGTGTGAAGGACTTCGGTTCAAGATCACTGGCCTGTGTCTTCATCCCCCCCGATCTGCTGGCCCTAATTGTGGCTTTAATGACACCCAAGCCTGTAAGTGCAACCCCAAACACGCTGTTCCTGGTGGGCTTGACAGGGAATATTCGGACAAAGACACCCTTCTGAGAGAACGGCCCATCCCATCATTGGCGGCCGACCGCGGGTCAACGGGACGATGCGCTAACGCTGCGGGCATCCTGGTCGTCCGCCGACTGCTCCAGATGAGTTTCTGCAGTCGAAAAGGAAATTGATCTCTGTTGTTCACCTGAAGATATGACCAGACTGCAGTGGGCTCGTTCCAAAAGTTCGCGAAGGAATACGAGGAGAAAATTTTGATATTAGCCGGGATGTTCTTAGGTGTGTCGCGTACGGTCAAGGTCCAGCAGCACTTACAGCTTTCACATATTCGTGGGAGAGAGATGGAGATGTGTTCAGAGTCTTCGGCTGCTCCAAGCTTGATTAAACGCACAGTAGACATGTTTCTCCGCGAACCTTCATATATGCTGCACAAGTCTGCAATAGCATCCATATCTCATTGCAGACGACAGGCTGGGTCGATGAGATAAAAAACAGTCAGCACATTGTATGGGCCAGAGCCCCTCTCATCATTACCAAAGTCCCTTAAAGTCCACACCTTACCATCACGCTGTGGAATCCTTGCATCTTAGTCCATCGAGTGTCTCGCTGTCCGTGCCGGGTGTCATATCTGGTTCTTGAGTAACATTTCGATCTGGACCAGCAGCATTCCTTTCATGTGGTTATTCCCGGCGCAAGACCAACCGTTCGTGCGCCCATCCGATATGATCTCAGCATGCTTCCCCGGACTAGCACAGGGCCAGGGTCGTAGGAATGAGTATCGATAGCCACTGGTGACGAGCAATGTGACCTTACTGACCTCGCGCACTTCGCCACTAATGAGAAGAGTTTCTATCGAGTTCCTCCCAAACAATGTGTCATTGTCGCCGTCATCATTCCCTCGGCACCCAAAGAGAGACCCAAAGTCCCTTGTGTCTCACCTCAAACCATAGCCCCGGCGCCATCTCGCCCAACATACCGAACAACTCCGGCCCGTGATCCTCAAAAGCCGCCGCGCATCGAGGAATGGCGCCAACCCACCGTCCAGGGTCTCTCCCCAGCGGATCCGAGAGCCGTCCGGCCCACTGAAAAGCGGAAATTAGCGCGATACTGAGCCACTGGAGTGGAAGCTATCGAAGCATTCTTGTTCTTGTTTTGCTGCAGCGAACGGGCACGGCGTCATGACACCTGCGTCCATCCCTCTCCATGTCCATGGGCCCCTCCCTCGTACAGCATGCACACCACCACGTTGGTACCAACACACGTGTGTGTCTGTTGGTCCCTGGTGACCCAGCCGTGCCGCTCAGATGGAGAGGCAATATAAACAGACTCGCCCGTCTTGGGCCGAAGTCTATTAGATGATCGCTCTCTCGCACGCATCAGCCGCTCACGTCAACGGTCGGGGTTCCTTGGGACAGGTTTAGGTTGAGCTGTCATCACATCTAGGTAAGGAAGCTTCCACTTGTCTCAATCCGCGGCCCCGAGTTGCCAATCGGCTCCGGGACCTGTGTTGTACCATTGTCGCATCGTGAAGCAGTGAATAGCTCTCTTGCCTCTGCATTCTAGGAGCTGCTGCCAGGATAGACGATGCCGGTCAGCCATACTGTTATCATCCAGAGCTGACCATTGCCTAGGGTCGTCACAATGAAGTTCTTCTCCCTCCTCGCTACCGTCGCCGCCGCGGGCGCCGCCCTCGTCTCGGCCCAGGGCACCATCGACTCCAACTCAGAGTCCTTCCCCGAAGACCTCAATGGCTCCAACTTCACCTACCCCTGGCCCGTGAAGCTCTACAAGTTCACCTCCCAGCTTCAGGAGCTCGAGATGGCTTTCATGGACATCGAGCCCAAGTGCGAGCCCAACGGCAAGACTGCCATCCTTTTCCACGGCAAGAACTTCTGCGGCCCGACATGGGAGACCACCATCCGCGTCCTCGCTCAGAAGGGCTACCGCGTCATCGCACCGGACCAGATCGGCTTCTGCAAGTCGTCCAAGCCTGAGCGCTACCAGTTCTCCCTTCAGCAGTTCGCGACCAACACCCACGGTCTGCTCGAGACACTCGGTATCGAGAACGTCACCGTTATCGGTCACTCCATGGGCGCAATGCTTACCACCCGTTACGGACTGATGTACCCTGACCAAGTCAACGAGATGGTCCTCGTCAACCCCGTTGGCCTCGAGGACTACAAGGCTCTCGGTGTCCCCTACCTTCCCATCGACGACAACTACGCCACGGAAGCCGCGAGCTCCTACGAGTCCATCAAGGGATACGAGCAAGCCACCTACTACGTGGGCGAGTGGAAGGACGAGTACGACGTCTGGGTCAGGATGCTCGTCAACATCTACAAGGGATCCGAGGCCAAGACCTACGCTCTCAACCAGGCGCAGATCGTCGACCTCGTCTTGACGCAGCCCGTCAGCTGGGAGTTCTCCCTCGTCAAGCCGCGCACCCTGCTCATCATCGGCGAGAAGGACAACACCGCCATCGGCAAGCAGTGGTCTCCCCCTGATGTCGCTGCCAAGCTTGGCCACTTTGACGTCCTCGGCCCTGAAGTTGCTGCTCAGATCCCCAACTCTACCCTGCACACTTTCCCCGAGCTTGGACATGCGCCCCAGATCTCGCACCCTGAGGAGTTCCATGACGTTCTGGTTGACTGGCTCTCTACATAAAGCGAAGCTTCGCAGTTAGCAGCCTCTTCCGTGGCATATATAACTTATAATAGACGTACATATCAATTGAAACTTCATATGACCACAATGCTTTTCAAGCATACTTCCGCGTTGCTCCTTTGCCACCTAAGAATCAGGCGCCGGCTCAGCCCACGGCCGGAGGGCGGCCCCACACCGGCCCGAATACCAGTTTCGGCCCACTCACGGAATCGGTTCGGTGGATAAAACTCATCCACATCTATCGTTCTTCGAGCAGGTCTCGCTTCTTCACTGATACAGCTCCGGCTTCAGAAAGCCTCAAACACCTCGCTTAATCACTGCGCCATGAGTGCATACCTATGCCAATGCCTCGTAGGATTATTTGTGTTATTCAAGCGTTGGGGTTCTCTAGCAATACCATAGCGGGCTGTGAACGTGAACGACGCAACTAGTGGAATTCCATGAGTATCAGGGGACCGCCAAAGGTTTTGTGGCCATACTACGGTTCAAGGTTTTCTCTGGGTGGCATACTATCAAGCGAGAAGCTATTTCCAGCAGGAAGATTTCTTGAAACAGTTGGGGTATGAGCAGTGGGTAGAGGCGTACATGTTTTATTTGTTGGAAACCTCGGCTGCACAGCTAGATCTCAATCCTCGCACACTTCATGAATTCATTTCGGGGTCGGTTCTGCCTTTCATCCTCCATACGAGTTGCTTGATGAGTATTGGTTTGTAAGTCACTTGAAGGCAACACAGTCGCCTGTTGAGTACTTGGTATCTTGCTGTAGACAGGCATTGGGTCGACGCAACTTACATGAAGACTCAGGCACTTCATACGCTTGTCGATGTCCATCCTTAGACCCAACCTGGGTATGGCATCGTCAGAAATGGAGAGCGGGCTGCGGCTTGCCGAGGGTCGTCAATGACCAACTGAATCGATGCCAAGATGCGTTGATAGATAACCCAATCAAAACCTGCCACACAGGGCAAGCCTATGACAGAAGGGCCCGGTTCGATCGCCCTGATTATTTCCAGTCAATAAAAGCGTTCGCATTGCCCAGCTTGCATTTGAGGTGTATTGTCTGCCCCAGCCACACTGCTTACAGCAAGCCCATTCGCTACAGCATGCTTACATGCATGCAGGCCTCACTCGGATTTCGGCGGCAGCCAATACGGCGAAACTGATGATCAGTCATTAGACACCCAACATCAGTACGTACATGTCCATGTCGGATTCTGGTTGCGCCCAATCAGGTCGCTTCTTCAGCTTGCCAGCAGAATGTCTCTGGGAGGAATATAAAAACAGGCTGGGGCCACAAACATGAGCTCTCGACTCGTACCGGAGGATGAGAGATGCTCTTCGTCCTGAAGACCACAAATATCGAACACACATCACGGGGGCATCCATTCTCGGCTTTCACTATGCCGCCTCGAAGAAGCATCCGCGACGAGGATTGGGAACGTCACAGGCCGACCATCCGAAAGCTTTATCTCGAAGAGGATCGGAATCTCAAAGATGTCCTCCTCATTTTGGGTACCTTCCACAGCTTTCATCCAAGGTGAGCATAAGCTCCTCTTTGACAACATACGCACATGCCGGAAAGTCAATAATGTATCTAATGCATCGTGGTAGCAAATCACAGTTGGAGTGGAAGTTGAAACAGTGGCATTTCACCAAGAACATGGGCGCCATGGATTGGAAGTATGTCGGAAACGAGATGCACCGGCGAAAGTGCAGGGGCAAAGAAAGCAAGGTCTACCTCTCAGGCATACGTCTGCGTCCGAAGACCATCGAAAGGGGGGTTTTGAGATACTGCTACGAGACTGCCATCGAGAAGGCCATGTGCCGTAAGTGTTATCCACGTTGATTATCGTATGGAGCATGTATAAAGCTGACTAGGAAAGATGTACCCGAACCGCCCATGCCGGAAGATCAGCCGCTTCTCGTGTGTACACCAGCGCCTGAAGAGATGAACTGGCCGTGCAGAGTGGATAATATCCCGTGGCTCCTTTCCAGGAAACTTATTGAGGGTAACTATCTTCAAAATCGCCCCGTTACCTAATTTCACGGTACTGATCAGTATCCATACAGGTCTCTCACTCAAAATGCCAAGCAATACGAACGTTTCCTATCATCATTATTCTGACTCTTTATACGAGTCTGAACGACTTGTGAATTCCGTTTTGTTTCCGAATTTCGCCCTACACAGCTATACGACACTGCTCAAAAACACCTATGAAATAATTCGCTTGGTTATGCCCGAGGAGTGTGAAGGTGCCCATGTTACGAGAGCTCAGAGCCTGCTACACAAAGGAACATCCAACACCATCCATGTGGACTTTTTTGTTTGCCTAATTTTCTTCCTTTCAAACGACTTTTTTCGGAGTCAACGCGTCCTTGAGCAAGAACGACATACTGCCACCTTGCACTTACTCCTCCACCCATTCCGAGAAAGCGGTTCAAACGTGTTGGCAAAAGGTCAATACTCGAGGCTACCCCTGAGCCTACAGGCATCGCTAGATGGCCTATTCAGGGAAGCCATCAAAGCTTCCGATCTAGGAGCTGTTGAACTTCTGCTTCAAGCAGGAGTTGATGTCAATACCTCATTCGCTTTCTCACGTACCGTGTGCTGCACCGCACTGCAGCATGCTGCGAGTTTGAACCAGCCTAGGTTGCTTCAAATGCTCATTGATCACGGCGCAGACACTCAAAATACCGACATCGAAACACTAAGCAGGGCTTGGCTACGCCGAAAAACAGCGAAGGGTTCACCAGAGCAAACAATGAGGATTTTGCTGTCGATCTATCGTTTTCGTTTGGAAGACGAGAAACACGCCGCTCAACTACTCTTTTGGATGAGTTACACGGCTCGCACTTCAGTGACTGAGGCTGCCATCGAGTTCTTCCGGTTAAGCTTTATCGAGGCCAGCTCAGCCGCCAAAGCCCAGCTTCTCATCACAGCAATCAGAACCAACAGCCACTTCGTCGATGAATTGGTAGCCGACTTCGGCCACTGTATCAACTCATGCGGCTACTATCCAGAGACTCCAATGACAGCAGCTGCGATTGAGGGCAACATCCAATTGTGCAATCAGCTGCTGCGTCTAGGCGCTGCCTTGGAGCCCGGTCATAAAGCACCTACACCGCTACAACGGGCAGCATCGTTCGCAGATGTAGATCTCGTTCAGAATTTATTAAAGTTGGGTGCTGATGTCAATTTCTGTCACCCATCCCCAACATTGCTGCGCGTTGGCTTTGAAGACATCTCGTCGATGCGCTTTTCATATTCGGCATATAGCATGGAAGATGAGCAAATGCAACATGAATTGCTCGGCAGTCTCGGTAGAACAGCACTTCATGCAGCATTGCTTGGAGGCAACGCCGCAACCGCGATGTGTCTCTTGGATGCAGGAGCTACACTTGTTGGTGGCGAGCTAGTGATGGCCATTTGGAGTGGTCAATATGAGCTCATTGGAAGTATTCGTAAAAGGGGAGCCTCTCTACAAGACCAGAGCACCATTTTTGGTATCGATACAATTCTGGAGGCTGCAATACTTTCGGAAAATTTTGACTTGATGTATCAAGTCATCGCAACAGACGAGCGATTGGTCTCGGGTCAAGCCCTTTGTGCTTCCGTCTTTTTAGCGGTAGCTACTAGCGACTTCACAGCCCTAAGATACCTTTTGACCTTGAGCTCGCAGCTTCTGTCGTCCCAGGATACGTGGACTGGAACAGCGATGTCTCTTGCAGCGCATTTGGGGTGCATGGAAATTTGTGAAGAGATGCTCAAATCTGGTCTTCGGCCTGAGACCTCCTGGCATCTCAACATATTCCAAAATGCTCATATATACAAGGATTTGAAGCGACCAGACCGGTCTTCTTCAACGAGTACTATCATCCGCAGCTATCTGTGTTGGAAAGGATCGTTGCATACTCAAGCCCGGGATCAACAGCCAAATCCTTGTCGACCTATGATCGAAGTCGCTGTTTCTTCGGGCTGTTCAGACTACTTGAAGCTACTGTTGACGTTCGGTTATCGACCAGGACCTACAACCTCTCTTGGTATTCTGTGCCATCGCCGTATGAACATCGATACCCTCAAACTTTTACACAGTTTTGGAATAGAGATGACAGTAGGTGTGCTCAAGCATTTCATGTGTCTCCACGGCAATCGCGAGATCATTCAATGGCTTTTCTCTACAGGAGTCAACATCAATGATAGATCAGACCATCTGTCTTCTCTGCAACTTGAAATCGCAGGCTATTGGGACCCTTTAACGCCCTTACAAAGGGCAGCCTGGGCAGGAGACATCAGCTTGATTCAAGAACTCATCGAGTACGGCGCAGATGTCAATGAATCTTCAAGCGATGGTAACACTGCACTCGAAGTCGCTGCGCAACGAGGATACTTTGGCATAGTTCAGAGACTGCTGGAGCTGGGGGTCAATCCTAATGCACCTGGGTCTGTGTCTCATGGAGATCGAACGGCTATCGAAAGCGCAGCAGAGCACGGACGACTAGATATCGTCCAATTGCTACTCAATTCTGGGGCTGAAACGAGCGGCCGCGGTCGCCGACAGTTCGTCAGGTCTGTCGGCTTAGCGGACAGAGAAGGGCATCACGCCATTGTGAGGCTCTTGAAGTCTCACGCGGGATGAACTGAAGCCGACGAGGATCTCCTAGGTCAGCAGGATCTCACTCCTGTCGGTTCCAGGGAGGTAATGAGGGTGCCTGCTTACGTGCGGCGGTATTATGGTGATGAATCTGATGGAGAAGACCCAGCTGGGGATGTGATCTCAAAAGAATACGAGTCTCGCGATGCACTCGGGGCAACTACGGAAGAATTTCAATATTCTGATAGGTTCAATTCAGACTCTGAAGAACACGCGTCAAACTCTGAAGAGGCTTCGCAAGCACTGGCGGAAGAGAGCTTCTCCAGGAACGCGGACACTTCAGAGACCTGTTTGGCATCAGATGACAATTGTTGTAGGGTACATGAACTTACCGAAGAGCTCGATGAACCCTCAGAGACATTTCTTTCAACATGGGACCTTATTTCCAAACTTCCGGATGCTTATGAATCACTTTCGAAAGAGGTTGGGTTTGAGTTCCTCCCCTCGTCCATGTCGTATCAGATCAGAGAGGAACTGGAGGGCGGTGGCTGTCTTGAAGAGTCGGGAGGCGACCTCTGGGCCGAGGAATACAGCAGGTTTATCACGGAGTTGGTCTAATTATGTTCTTCTAATCTTTTCCTGTTGTTTCAAGTGGGGCTCTGGGGAGTTATGTCTGTCGGCGGAAGGGTTGGTGTGGTTATTAGCACAGTCTCATGTGACGCTTTTGACTTGGAAATAAAACACCATGAAAAAATCATTCAACATCAACAATACAATCTCCTGCGTTCGCTACATCAAATATCTCCTTTAAGAAGACATTAAAACCGACTGATCCCATTTTAAACCGTTCAATTGGCATATCGCAGCTCTATCACCACAAGTCGAAATCCCCTCCCCTCCCCCCTAAGACCATCACCAACCCATCAATCCTTCGGCCCAACGCCAAACTCCCCCGTCTCATACAAACTCCCCACCGTCGCCCCGCGGTTCTCAGCCACCAGACCCATCAACTGCTGTCCCACGTCCTTGATCTCGTTGTACTCCCGCAGCAGCTTGACGTGCCGCGTCACCACGGCCGAAGCCTCCTCGAACTCCCTGCTCACGCGACGTCAGTTCATCGCAACCAACGAATAACCTCCAGGCTCCCCGGAGAAGAGATAGTGAGAAGGATGAACCGGGTGAAGCTTACTTGTCCTTCTTCGCCGCTTCATCACCTGCCTCGCGGCCTTGAGGAGGGGCAGGCTGGTCAGGTTGACACGTGCCAACATCTCCCATTCCAGAGTCCGTTGTCATCGTCTTGGGATCTCTTGAACTGGCTTTCGCATCATAATTTTCGTCACCGGGTTTCCTTGGTGTCTGTGGCGTAGACGAAGCCATCTCATCAACTCTTAAGCTGCGTCGCGGGGTCGTTGACATGGGAATCGCAGGCACGGCCCCACCATGCACCTTGCCTCCGTTGGTGGACACACCTGCTCGCGACCAAACGGCAGGGGCCCGACCACCCGATTGCTTCCAGAGAAAACAACTAGCAGAGCCTGCAGCAAGCCCGCAAACACATCACCTGGATTCAAAAAGCAGACACCGCGAAGGAAGCTATCGAATCATCAAAATAAAACACTCTTGAAGCGGCAATAGGCCAAAACAATGGACGAACAGGGAATCGAACCCTGGACCACTCACATGCTAAGCGAGTATTATACCACTAAACCATTCGCCCGTTGTTGAAAGGAGACCGCCATATAGTGCAACATGTAGCATGCTCGCAGAGCTCGCCGCCTTCCTAGCGACCGCACCACTAACCAGCACCACGCGCCGAGTGACATATCTTCCCGCTGGAGACTTTCACATGAATCTCCATCGTCCCGCAGATTCTCAGATGCAGTAGAACCGAAGTTCCAGGCTGAAGCTCTTCGACGTCATTCCTTCACCTCAGCAGCACCCCAAACTCCAAGCCCACCCTCCAGGTACACAATCCCACCGCCATCTAGCCCACGAAAGAGCACGCATCCCAGCAGACGCCATCTTAGGGCGCGGATAGGGCACACCATCACACGCGTCTCCTCGCGATGGCCGACACGTCTCGTCGTTGGCGGCGGGGCATGGTAAACACGAACGGGACGTCTTTGCCCACTCACTCATGAACCATCATTCACTCGCCTGGCTCTTTCACAATGATTGTAACAGATCAATTACTTCTACGCAAGCACAAGACGCCTCGCCAGGTTGTTTCCTCCCAAATTCCGTGGTATACTCTTCTCTTTCTTTTGATCATGATCTCTTTCCCGTCCATTCCTCAATCGCCTCATCTGGACTACAGCCTGTTCCGTGGGAAAATACACATGGAAGGGCGAGAAGATCCCACACATACCACATACCTTGCTCAAAGGACAGGAAGAGAAACGGTTTACATGCGTGGGCGGAAGGCAAATGTGGAAAAGGTTGTTCTTGTTTGTACCATAAAAATCAATTCCCATTGCCCATTTTGATTCGCAGAACACCCGCACACCTTTTGTGGACATGAATCATCTTGATTGATTTCTCTTGTGACTTATTGCGAGAAAAAGTGTAGGGGGAACGGGTTTCCTGTTACGAGACCGCCTTGGGGATGAACACGAAACAAATGTCTTCCCCATAGCGAGTCCCTCGGAAACCCCAGAGACTCACCACAAGTCAATTTTTCCCCTCCCCCCAATGAAGTAGTGCGTTGATGTGTTTTTCCCCCGCCGCTCCAATATGACCAGCCCATTGTGCCATCAGCAAAATGAAGAATTTCCCTTGAACCGCCACGCCATCTATGAGGAAGCACGAGGAAGAGGACAGAAATGCGCGAGCAAAACTCCCTCCGTAGATCGTCAAATGTGGTATCGTGGCCGCCGCCGGGTGCTAGGATGCGAGAGGGAACGAGGATTAACCCCCGAGCTTCCCGGAGCACGTCAGCAGCAGCAGCTTGAGACGCTCGTCATCAGACCCGAGAGGGAAGTTTCGAAGCGGCCACGTTTAGTAGCCGTAGGCCTCGAGGGCCTGCGCCGTCTTCTGGTCGACCTTGGCGTTCTTCTTGGCGTCGGTGATCTGGCGCTGAGCGACCTTCTTGCGCTCGTAGTAAGCGGCACCCTTGGCCTTGCGGCGCTCCTCAAGTCTGTGGCTGTGTTAGTCGAACACTCCATCGAGAATTGGTGTCGGAGAGAAACCCACCTGGCAACGACGTCCTGGTACTTCCAGCCGACCTCGTGGGAGAGGCGACCGACGGTGCAGAACTTGCGGCCGGGCTGCAATCTGAGGACGCGGAGGGCCTGGGGGACAACCATCTTCTTCTGCTTGTCGTAGGGGGGAGGGACACCCTCGAAGACCTTGAGGCGCTCCATGGCGGCAGCACCACGGGCGGTCTTGTGGGGGATCATGCCGCGGACGGTCTTGTAGAAGATTCTCGACGGGGCGCGGAAGTGGAAGGGACCTAGACGGGGGGTCAGACTGCGATCGAGCGGGGGATTGTCTGCAATCGGAGGGGTAGAGGCTTACCACCGCGAGTCGGGTTGTAACGGGTCATCTTGCGGAGGTAGGCGTGGTACTTGACTGTAGGCATCTGATCAGTATGTTGCGTGACGGTGAGCCGACGTCCACTGCAGTCTTGGTTTCTCGTGCCTGGACTAGTATTGTCCTTCTTCTAATGATCTTTGACTGAGTGCGACGCGGGGAATGGGATTCGACATACGCTTGGCACGGAAGAACTCGCCAGAGATGTTGAGGGCCTCGCAGCGGACGACAACGACCTTCTGGCCGTTGAGGAGCTGCTTGGCAACGATAGAGGCGAGACGACCAAGGAGATGGCCCTTGCCGTCAACGACGACCTGTTGGCGTTCGGGTTAGCGATCTGCAACCGAGTATCATATTCGTGTGCGTGTCGGCGGGACAGGAGGGTTCTCTCGATTGAAGCGGCGATGTCGATGTCCAGCAGCCGCGCCGACAGCGACAGCAAAGACCGTCCACCTCTACTGCGACCAACCCGTCGCACATTCATGTGCCCTCCTCTTGCTGTGGCGTCCGCCCACACAAATCACATCTCGAGAACCCTCAGATCGGCCACCACCAAATCCCCTTCGCGAAACCTCGAAATGTCGAATGGAACGCAATGGACGGGAGGAGACTCACCACCGGCTCGAAAGAGGACATCGTTCCTGTTCCTTTTGTGCTGAAAATGAAGGGAAGGGACGAAGGTGAACTGCAAACCTCTGGGCGGTTAGAGATTTGTCGCTGGCTGGGTGCTGCCGTTGGGGTTAGTAGGATGTCGGATGGAAAGTTTGGGAAGAGGTCGTCGCGACAATCTTGAATTCGGGAGCTGGGCGGAGAAATTTGGCACACACAGGTCACTGCTCGCACACAAAATTGCAGAAAGAAAGCCCCCGTGCCGCCTGCTGTGAGTGCACCGGGTGGAACCGCCCTAGCCGCATTGGGCAAGGCGGGCTGGACGGCAAGCGAGGGTTGGATTCGCGCCTGAGGCAGGTTAGGGCAACGAGACCTACCAAAAGCACACCGAGGCCCCGACCGCCCGGCGGAGGGGTGGCTCACCTCGGTGTGGAATGCCCGGGCCCGATACTGGGAGGCGGGGCACCGTTCTGGACTGGACCACACCTGGCCTTGACTCCCCGATCGACACAACCTGGAGGAATCCATACCAACGGCCGTCGACCGACGACCGTTGCTGAATAAGCCGACGTCAAGTCCACAAGCGCCAGACCAGGATGCCCCCTTGACTGCCCATGATGTTCACGTCACGCTGCAGCCCTGCTTGGACGACACGACTGCGATACAAGATTCAGGGCCGCATACAATCCACATCACCATCATATGCGCAATCGCTAGAGTGAAGATCCCAGAAAAACCTTGGGCCATTTTGCCATTCCTGTCTACTACGGCGCCAGTAGTGCGCCTCGCCAACCCGGTTGAGGTAACCGTGATAACTAACGGGTGACGAACTTCGTATCGTACCAAACACAAGCCTCCCTGAACATGCTGACCGCCTGTCTACGCGGCTCTAGATGCAATTCTCGCTGAAAGATGCAGAAAACCGAAGAAAACCTCCCATGCGTCTCGCAATCAATCCCAAAATCTTCTTAGTAGTACCGTCTTGTCCAAGACACCGTGGGCATGTGCAGTGCCGGGAATCTCGTGAACGTATCAACGTATCTTAGCGTAGTCTAGAGTCTAGACGCTTCAAAACATCCTGAACGTGCTGGACCAGGGCTTTCCTCTTCGCCCTGGCCTCCTGGTCGCCTTCCGTCTCGACCTCGTCGAGCTTCAGCAGAACGTGCTGCATCGTCGTCTCGGAAAGCTTGCGGTGCTCGTCTTCTCGCTTCTTGGAGTCCGTCGGCGGTGCCGCGATGAACTTGTCGCAGAGCGGGAGCAGCTCCGTTTCAAAGTGCGACGCAATGGCATCCAGCTTGGCGTGGGGCCCATTGGCCTGTCTGATAGGCGTGGGCGACCTGCCAGCGTCGGTGCCCGGGACGCCGAGATTTGATGTGCTGTCGCGGGGGCTGGTATGGTTGCTGCTTCGACCGCCCTTCTTCGACTTGCGGCCCTTTTTGCCCTTGCGGCGCTTCTTGCCGTCGTCGGTGCCAGCGGCGCTGCCGACAGTGCTGCCACCGTCGCCAGCCACCACAACCATCTCCTCGTCTGAATCGTCGCTGCTCTCAGGCTCGAGGTCGCCATCGGGGAGCACGACCATGACCTCGCTGTTGTTCTTGACACCGTAGTCCCGCACCGGCGCGGCGGCATCCTTCAACTGGCGGCCCTTGTAGAGCAGCTTAACCTTGCGCCCGCGGCGCTCTGACAGCTCCAGCAAGACGCTGACGCGGTCCCGCACATCGCGAACGCGAAGCTTGCCGTCGCCGATGGTGTAGGCGGGGAAGTGGGTAGGGTAGGTGACGCCCTTGTTCTTGATGAGCAGCACGTCGTCCTCGGGGACGGGGGCGCTGGTCCTTCTCGGGTTGTGGGCATACGATCTCGTGGGGACGGAGCTGCCGAGGGAGGAAGACTGGAGGTCCTCGGTGGTGATGTAGCTAAAGTCCTCGTCGGTGACGTCGGGGACACCGCTCATGGTAGAGGTGTAGGGAGATATCTGCTCCCGATTCGTGGACCAGCCGTATCTAGACATGGTGAAGGGCACGGCAAGCAGGATGCAGCCAATGGTGCTGTAGAGGATGAGGTTCGGGTCGACACCGGTTTTATCGGAGAGGAAGTCGGAATAGTCAGCGATGAGGGCGGCTAGGCTGGCGATGGATTTGTCGAGATAGAGCTGGAGGGAGGTGGGCAGCAACGCTGTGATGTTGGACAGGGCACCAGAAGATGCCAGAAGAGGCTGACTGGAAGCCACCTTGGCGGGAGTAGGCGGTCCTTAAAGCTAAGGACGCAGTCTAGGAAAAGAAGGAAAGTGGAGGAGGGGTGGAGGAGGGGAAGTGAGGCTGGAGAGGAGGACCGGCCGGCGACAGCGATTCTCCGGGACGACGACGGTGGATGATCGTGGTGTCGTGGGGTATTGCCTCGTCTGGGTCTGGGATTTTCCGACTCGCGGGGTTGGCAGATCAGGCCGTTCTGCAGCAGGCAAAGCAGCGCAGGCAATCTTGGGCCAGGTAAGGTAGTGTAGTCGATGCAGGACGCCGAGCAGTGGGGTAAGACAGGCAGTCGTGCGTATGTATCCGTAGTCAAGGTAAGGTAGGGTGGTCGTGAGGGTGTTGCTACCGGCGGACTGGCGTGGGCGATCACCAGCCTGGGTCAAGGATCCGGGAGGAGAGCGTGGTGAGGTGAGGCTGTTGGAGGAGAGGACTGGAAAAGAAGCCCAGCGAAGGGGGTGTCAGCTTTGGTGAGCAGCGTGAGCAGCAGCGCAGCGCAGTGCAGAGCAGCAACGAAGACAGAAACGAGCGACGAGACGACCACAGAGACGGGCAATGAGTGGTGGGCAGGGGTTGGTTGGTTGGCTAGCTGGCCGAAGGGTGGTGGGCAGAGGAGAGAGCTGGCAACTGGCGGCGCGGCCCTATGGGATGACGGCAGACTCAGGAGCCAGAGGGACGGTGGTGCGTGAATGTGTCAAAGTATTGGATGTGTCCAATCCAATGCAGCAGTGTGGAGGAGGTTCTGGAAAACCGGGAAGTGCAGCGAATGACGGGGATGCGGAGGGAGGAGCCGTGATCATTGGCCGGGCCGATGGCAACGGCGTCTTTGGAGCGGACACGCGTGAGGCGATTCGGGCGAGCAACCTAGGACGTACCTGGACGGCGCGGCGATGGGTCGGCGGGGAGATGCCCGGAGCACACGAGTAGCGCAGGCGTGTGGAGGGAGGGACGGTGGCGGCGGTGGTGAAGTTGTCGTTTGTTTGCTGCGAGTGAGGTGTGTTCGCGATAGCGTCGTCTAAAGCGGCAGAGGACGAATTTCCAAAAGATTTTCGGATGAGTTGCGGAAGGAAAGGCAAGGTGGCAGGTGGCACGAGCTGGTGGTGGTGGCGAATGGGGACAAGCTGGCAGCAAGCTCTCCCCTGATACTGGAGCTGCCCTGCTGTAATTTTAGGTGCGCAGCAAGTACCGGCTGCCTTACCTCATCTCGAAATTAGGCGAACAACCGAGGCGGCTGAGCCTCGGAGCCTGCCACCTCGGATTTCGGACAGGGATCTTGCATCGTGAAAAGCCCAACCAGCCCAGAGGGTTCAGGATTCAGGATTCAGACAGATTCACCAAGACGGCTGTGTATGGATGGATGCCCAAGGATGCCATCGGGCGCTAGACGCGGGTAAGATGTGCGTGATGAGATAGATCTATCCGAGTGTCTTTCACTTGGTCCAGCAGCCTCAGACGAGAGGTCCCTGAATCCCAGTCACTAAAAGCTCTAAAAGTCCCTGAAAGTCCCTGGACGAAGCAGAGCAAAGACCACGGGCACTTGGACCAGGATGACGATGATAAGGACGCTTGCTTGCCTTACCTGGGTTTCTTATCTTATCCTTATCGTCTGGCTTCTGCTCCGTTCTTTGATCTTTCCATGCGAGTAATTCGCCCTCATGACCTCACCAGCGCCAGGAGTTGGTTGCTGACAGATCACACGGCAACTCCCAATTAGGTTCTCACCATTGCGAAAATCAACCAACGCCTGCGGCTGTACGTAATTGGACGCTTCTCTTGATACGTGTGTTCCTGTGGCCAACACTTTAGAAATGTCATGATGGAATCAAACAATGACAAACACAACCCAGCCACGGCAACACAACTGTGATTCATGTTAGTAGAGCGTCCCCTGCCTGTGACACCTCTCCCGACCGCCCATAAATCGGGACCCCGAGAATCCGCAATTCTGCCGCGGGGAACTAGAAAATCACACCTCCCACTGCTTTTGCTGCTGCGCTGCCTCGAACCGCGGCCGTGGTGCATTTCCAATCCCCATTCCCGATTGCATCATCCACTCACTCCCTCCGACCACCCCGACCTCGCAAAACTCCCCCAGCGCCTGTTCACTCTGCAGTAGCCTCTGTCTCCCTCACTATCCTGTAATCCGCCTTCCCGGTGTACATCCCCCCTCCACCCTTCCCACGCATCCTTCGAAGTACCTCGCCTCCCGCCCCCGGTGCCTGACAAATAAACCCACCGGCCCCGGCTCTTCCCATCCCGTATCCGTACATTTATAACATCACCAATACCCCTCCCCCTCCTTCCCGTCGCAAAACCAACCACCAAATGTCCTTCATCCTCCGCCGCCTCTTCTCCACAACCCCAAACGTAGCAAACATGGCCGTCACAAAGCAGCAGGTCCAGTCCATCATCGACGAGAACAAGGTCGTCGTCTTCTCAAAGTCCTACTGCCCCTACTGCCGCCAGACAAAGTCCACCCTCGACGAGCTCAACGCCGACTACAAGGTCGTCGAGCTGGACCTCCTCCGTATGTTTTTTCTTTTTGCTTCTTCCCAATCTTCTTCCCCGTCACCGCGAAATGCACTTACTGACACCACCCCAGCCGACGGAGGCGAGATCCAGGACGTCCTCGAGCAGATCTCGGGCCAGCGCACCGTCCCCAACAGCTACATCGCCCAGAAGCACGTCGGCGGCAACTCCGACATCCAGGGCCTCCTCAAGGGCAACAAGCTCGAGAACCTGCTCAAGGAGGCCAACGCTCTCAAGGCGTAAGGAGATTCTCTTCTCGTCCAGTCAAAAAACTTTCTTGTGCGCGAGAATGCGATAGAAGTAGTCACCGGCAGAAGGCTGACGGGCGCGCATGGCACAAAAGGTCGTCCACGTCCAGGCTGTAGCTGGGATGCCCGAGAGTTGTGTAACCAGTGTGGATGAGGGGGGCGAGTTGTAGAGATACCAATTATGCGGAGGAATCATCACGATAGAAGGGGGGCCTAGTGTTTCAGACCTTCAGGGAATAACATAAACTATTGTATACACATGCGTCTTGCCTTTTTCCGTGACTGCACAGCTCATATGCGTCGTCTACGAGTCGGGATCTTTATATCGCTACATTGCTTTTTACATGTTTTACACAACCTGCGCGGCGACCGTGCCGACAGGTCTCTCGACAAACTCCATCACGCCGTCGATGATGCTTGTCCGCGCCGGCTCCGAGGCCACCTTCTTGCCGGCCAGCCAGTTGAGCCACAGCAGCCTCGACACGCGCTCGTCCTGCACCTTGCCGCAGCTTTGGCGCCCGAAGCTCCTGCCGTCGTCGTAGATGACCTCGAGCGCGCCCTTCTCGTCGCGGCACAGCAGCAGCTCCTTGGACTTGGGCACCTTGCCGCGGCTGAACAGCCTCTTAAAGTCCCGCATCGCCTCGCCGAACGCCTCGTCGCCGTATGCCTCCTTGTCCGCCGCCGACCTGTGGGTGATTGCCCTCACGAAGCCATCGCGCAGATGGGGAAAATCGGTGTCGCGGACAGGCACGATGCGGAACGCGCTGCGGCATCCGACCTCCTGCAGCAGTGCCGTCCACGTCTCCTCGCCCTCCGCAGGGTCCAGCAGCTTCTCCTTCAGTGTGTCGCGCTCAGAGGGTACCAGCGTCGTCGCGATGGGGTTGATCTTCTTGGTGAGGTAGTGCTGCAGCTTCGCGACGTCCTGCGTGGCGACGTAGTATCCGACCATGTACACCTGGATGCTCAGGAAGCTGACGGTGCGGATGCCGAGGCCAACAAGGGTGTACTCGACGCCGTCGCTGTCCTGGACGGAGGCGGCGATCGGGGCCTGCGCGGCGGCTTCCGGGTCGCGGGAGGAGGCGGAATGCTTGGAGGAGAGCTCGATGGTGCGGGGGAAGCTGGGGACGGTCTTGTTGCCGGTGGGCACGAGCTCCTTGCCCTCGTCGTCGTGGATGACGACCTTGCGCTTGCTTCCCGCCTCGGTCGTGAAGGTCTCGCTCGGCACCGATGAGTCGAGCTGGTAGCCGGTGCGGTGGTCGGCGCTGGCGTCAGAGCTCCCGTCGCCGCCTGCGCCTGCGGCCTTGCGCTTCTTCTCTGCGGCGAGGGCCTTGCGGAGCTTGTTGGCCGTGTAGACGAAGGAGATGATGCCTGCGATTGCGCCGGCGGCGAGGAAGTATGTGCGGTCGCGATCGTAGCTGGTGCGGGCTTCGCTGAGCTGATTGATGTTGTACTTTTCGGTGGGCTGGTGGACGAAAGACCGCTGGCGGATGAAGGTGCGGCGGGGTGCTACTGTTCGGACGGGCTGCAGACGACCCTTCGGCAGAGCCCTTAGGACTCGTGGGCGGAACATTGGGGGTGCTTGTCGGGGAGGGTATCGTCGAGGGGGGATGGACGTAGGTGGGTGGTGGGTGGGCTGACGGCAGCCTCAAGGTTCTTCGGATGGATCTGTCGACGGGAGGCTCGGGCGGGCGGGACGGCGCAAACGGGTGCTGTTAGATCGATTTCGGTGCCGACGGGGCAGGGCGACTCATGGTCCAGTCATGTGGGATCTTTGAGCGTGTTGTTCCTGCGCAGCACAGACTGGTGAGCTCGCAGCGTCGGGGGGGCAGGAGTAGTAGCCTGTAGGAGGAGGATGGAAGTCTGATCGGGACGCTTGTAATCGGCAGATGCTAGTCCAGGTCATGCAAATGGCAATTGCCAATTGGAGCTTCGGGGCCTGTCAGCCAATGGAGTGGGCCGATTGGCAGCTGCACGGAGGGGCGCGGGGC